GTTTGAGGTTTAATGAAATTGCAGGTGCAAACAAGGTACTTTAAATTGTACTTTTAATGTTGAAATTACATTGAAAGTGTGAATAAATAGTGCATGATGTTCCCTTTTCTTTTTGATATCTAGCTCTTCTGTAAGTGTGTATTTTTTAAAAATACCCTGACCTAGAAATCAAATTGCTGAAGTCACATTACAAAGCCAGACAATGGTAATGTCATTGCCACTGCTCCTCTGTCCGAAGAGCAAGCCTTAGAGTCCCTACATGCTTAAGCCTGTTTTAGAAACCATCTTCTGCTGAACTCATCATCCATCAAAAGCTAGTTAAATGCATGACTTCTGTGAAAACTCGTGGACTTTGAAAAAGTCCAGTCACCAGATACTGTTTTTCAAGATTTTTTTTCAAGAGAAACTAATCTTGATACTCCAGACACTTCCTTCACCAGCAAAGATCCACTTTGAAGAAACTGTGCTCAGAAACAAGTGGAGCTTGTGGTTTCTCTGCCTGGAATCTTCATCAGGCAGCCATTCTAATCTGTCAGGTGCTGTGATGGCCTGGGGGAATGGAGTTAGACTCAGTCTTCTAAAACTGCTGCTTTTTCTTTTCATTTTGAAATTCTAGTACTATCTATCCATAAAACGAACAGGGCTATTGAAGAGGTACTGTGACCTAGTAAAAGGACCACAGACCTTCGAATCTTACAGGACTAAGTTGAAATTCTGATTTAGCCACTTACTCTGTGACTGGGTTTCACTATTTAGCCTAGAGGAACCTTGGTTTCTTCAGTTGGAGAATTGGAAGAATGAAACTTATTTTGTTAGGCTCTTTTAAGAATTAGGAATAATAGATGTGATAGATGGAAGGCAGTGAGTGCCCAGAACAGGAACTCAATAAATGGTGGCAGTTATTATTATCATTAATTGTGATGGTTGTCAACCACATTCATTCAGAAGAAACCTTTTGCCTTTTTAAGTGGTATTTATCTAAAAAGAGAGGCACCCTTTGATCTCCCTCAAAATAAAGCCCAATCCAGTCACTCAGATTTAGCATGATCCTTGGCAAGCAGTGTAGTTTGCTGAAACTTCATTGAACTGACCTCTCTGAACCTTGATCTTGTATAACACAGATGAAGCAGCCATAAAAATTTAATCATTGTCTTTAAGTTCAATAGAAACTGCTACTTTTTCTTTTAGTATGGTTAATTTACCTTTTTTATGCTTCTACCGTCTCCTTTCATTTAGGAAAATATGGATTCCTTATCACAAGGTGGCTTCAGAAGCGCTCCCAATCCCTATTCGCTTCTCCTATAAGACTCTCTAAGCCAACTGTCATAATCTACAGGAGGGGCAATAAGCTCTCTGTAAAGGGCCAGAATACAAGTGTTTCAGGCTTTGAAGGCCACAGTGTCATCACAACTACTGGTGAAAGCATCTGTAGACAATACATTAATGCACAGGCATGGCTGTTTTCCAGTGAAACTGTTCAAAAACCAGCTGCTACTAGAATTTGGCTAACAGGCCACAGTTTTCCAGCCCTAATATGCTGGCTGTAGTATGCTGGCTCAGTGATGAGCCCTGTCACCACAGCTCAGAGGATTTATGTAGTGCACCTAGCCTTCCTAGGCTTGATCATGGATGAGACCTTCCAAAGCCCAGATTTAGTAAATGTTTCCCAGACCAAGGCGCTCTGTGTGGCTGGAATACCTTTAGTCGTGCTTCTCTGGTAGAGTTATTTATCCTACCAGCATATGGCTGGCTACCTTCGTTCATGGGCAGAGGGCTTGCTCCTTACAGACCTCCCCATTCCTGCTCCAGTCTGAGCTCCTGCTGTTCTCATTACTACTAAGTTTTGTTATTGTTTTATTCTTTTATCCTCTTCTTCCTAAATTTCTACGTTCCTTTCTTTCTTTCATCCCCTTTCTCTGCTGTTTCTCCTGTGCAACTCAATGTTCTAAGCAGCTTGGACTTTTTGACCTTTTGCCAGCAAGTAAGAGGTTCCTGTCCTACTGCTAGTGAGAAGCATCACATAGTGTCTGGCGACATCCCCAAGGCTTAGTCTCTTCTCAGTCATTTTTGTGACTGTTTGTCGCACAAGGATTCTTTATGGGAAGAGTTTCTTCCTTGCTTCAATTTTCCTTGCCTTCATTTATTTAGCAGGTATTTGGGGGCCCCCTACGTGGAACCAGACACTATTCTCAGCACTAGAAATATAATGATGAAATAATAGACACATCACTGCCCTCATGAAGTCTAGCAAAGAGGACACACGTTAAATAAAGAATTCCAAGCTGGGGATGTAGCTCTGTGGTAGAGCACTTGCCTGAAAGTGTGAGGCCCTGGATTTAATCCCCAGCACCTAAATAAATCAATAAGTAGAATTAAAAAATGATGAGGGTTGTGAAATGTGGTAGGAAGGAGAAACATAATTTGCCACAACAAAAATCTAATGGAAGACCTAGTGGAAACAAAATTTTATTCAAGATGAAGTCTGAAAGATTGCCAAGAATGAGCCCGAGCTGGGTGTGGAGGCACACCCCTTTAGTCCCAGCTGCTTGGCAGCCTGAGGCAGGAGGATCACTAGATCCCTGGAGTTGGAAGCCAGTCTGGGCAACATAGCAAGACTCCATCTCAATAAGTTAATAAATAATAAGCCAGATAAAGTTTAGGGAATGAAGGGAAGTTTAGGGAACCCACACAGAGCAAACAGCCCTGTGAAAGATTGGGGTTGGTACTTTCAATGAAGTCAAAGATGGCATGAGACAGAGGGCAACAAGTTGCTTCTCAGAATGAGGCTCTGGGGGTAGCCAGGGCCATGTGAACAGAGGACGAAGGCCTCTGTACCAGGACTTGGACTTTGTCCCAGGAATCATGAGATGCCCTTGATGTTTGCATGGTGAATACCTTGTTCCACATGGTTTTTAAATTTTTATTTATAGATTTAGATACCAGGAATTGAACCCAGGGGCACATTACCACTGAGCCACTTCCCCAGCTATTTATTTTTTTTTAGAGACAGGGTCTTGGTAAGTTGCTTAGGGCCCTGCTAAATTGCCCAGGCTGGCCTTGAACTTGGGATCCTCCTGTCTCCCCTTCCTGTGTCAGTAGGATTACAGGCATGCCCCACTACGCCCAGTTTCTCATGGTTTTAAAACAGTTAAAGTTGCCAGAATGCCAGGTTCTAGAATCTTTTTAGTCTACCTGAACCAGTTTGTCTTCTCATCTGCACTTGAAACCTTCATCCACACTGCAACTTTCAAGTTTCCATTTGTTAACTGTTCTGTCCCTATTATGCCAGTATCTATTTGGTGTGAGTGTAAATAATATTCTGTGGACAAGTCTATAAGAAATATTCATAGAATCGTAGACTATCACATTCCAGAGATCTCTGCAGAGATCTTTGAATGAAGACTGTCAGAGATCCCTCCAAAATGTCACAGGTGAACAATGCAGTCTGCCTTCTACCCAAGTGCTATCAGTGACTAGAATCCACTGTTTCTCAATGTCGTCCATCCTGGTGTTGGGTGTTATTTTTTAACCATTCTGCCTTTTACAGATTCTTATTCCTCTGAGTGAAAATAACTCCTCTTAGTTATTTTTTCTTTCTTTCTTTCTTTTATTTATTTATTTATTTATTTATTTCATTTTTTTGCTACCAGGGATTGAATTTAGGGGTTCTCGAACACTGAGCCTCATCCCCAGCCCTATTTTGTATTTTATTCAGAGATGGGGTCTCACTGAGTTGCTTAGCACCTCACAGTTACTGAGGCTGGCTTTGAACTTGCCATTCTCCTGCCTCAGCCTTCCAAGCCGCTGGGATTACAGGCGTGTGTCTCCCCGCCAGGCCTCTCCTTAGTTCTTGTTCAGTTTCTTAAACCTGCATAGGATAAGCCCAATTTGTCATTTTAGAAGTGATTAATCTCAAAACTAAGATGCTCACATGAAACCAGAGATCAGATTATGAATTAGAAAGTAGGACTGTATAAAAAAAATCCATTAGGGTAAGAATGGTGGTATAAGATGGTGATTTATCTTCTATGCCATAATAACTAATAAATAGCATAAAATTAAATGTGCTCAGAACTAAAGTTCTATTTCTTTACCTTGGTCAATGAGTAGAGCACCTGATATGTGAATAGCATTTTATTACATATTCTAAGAGAATAAAAAAATTCAGGTTATAAGATTGTAGACTCTTGGAGCACGTGATTTCTTTAGAGAGGAAAGATTTGTGTGTTTATGTAAATAATAGATGAACATGTGCCAAATGTGCACACCAAGGAAGAGCCTAAAGTGTCTTATACTCCACTAGGGTGGGGTGAATGCTCTAGAAAGAAATACCTCCAGCTGTCGGTGTAGCTCAATGGCACAGGGTGTGCTTAACATGTGCCAGACCCTGGGTTCAATCCCCTGCTCTGCAAAGAAAAAGAAATACCTATCTTCCTGAGTTTCTCTTTACGGAGGGATAGACAGCCCTGATTTATTATCTATCCTTCTCTTCTTTCCAATTCTCCCTCTAGCCCTCCCCCATTTGGTTTTTGACCTGGATGAGCTACCAAACAGTTTTCATTGAATAGAATTTTCTTCTGTGCTTTTAGTGATATTTAAAATGTTCCGTTCTGTAATAATGGTATTTTTTCTTTATTCTACTTTGCTTTCTGAATTTTTAAAACACGTACATATTTTAAATTCACATACATGCAAAGATATTCATACTCCTCATAGGGAAACAGGCAAAGGTCAGTCTTTTGAATATTTGTGAAAAACATAAGGAATTTTTCTTTTATTCTTTTGAAGTGGGTTCTGTGAGAAACATGGCCAATGTATGTTAAATGACCAGGAGCTTCTGAATGGCTATCCTGGACTGACCTTAGAAATTAAAATAAGTGGATTACATGGCATGATGACAGTAACGAGCTATCAATATAGCTGCAGAGCATTGCTCCCTAGTTCACTGTCTGCCTGACTTCTTTCAAGAGCTGCCTTACTATGGTTGTTTCCTCTTCCAGCGGAACGGAAGCCCCCGCTTTTCAATATGAATGCAATGAGTGCCTTATATCACATTGCCCAGAACGACTCCCCAACGCTACAGTCCAGCGAATGGTAAGACAGTGCTACCATCTCCCCTCTCTAAGAAGGTCTCCATAGGTACTTGACACTTTAATTGAATGATATTTTGAATATCTGACCTAGAAAGCATTTTATTCCTCCATTGTGTGTTAGAGTAACACAAATACCTCATGAGCAACAGCTGTCTATGCACACATGTGTGTGTGCACATGCAAACACACAGAGTTTGTGTTTCCGCTTCTCCTTGGCTTGACTGTGTTCTTATTTTTTTATTTTTTAGTTATACATAGGCGCAATATCTTTATTTTGTTGATTTATTTTTATGTGGTGTTGAGGATGGAACTCAGTGCCTCACATATGCGAGGCGAGCGCCCTGCTACTGAGCCACAACTCCAGCCCCTTGACTGTGTTCTTTCTTACCGTGTGCAGTGACTGAAATCCCCCCAGGAACTCACCCCAGCTACCTTCCTGGCCAGTCTAGTCACTCAGGTCCTGATGTCTGGTATCGATCATCTCATCTCTTATCGCTTGTCAGCAGAGATAAAGTGCCCCCGCTGATGTCATTATTTTTCCAGTTGTCTTCCCCCCCCCCCCGTATGTATATTTAAATGTTTGGGGGCAGAGAATATACTATCCACTCAAAAGATAACAAAGTGTAACATTTTGGGGGCCACAAGAGTTACAGAAAACTGGCCGTTTTAAGGAAGAGTAGACAAAGTGGACCATTCAAAGTAGGAAATATTCTTATTCAGAAAGCATGTTCCTGGCTTCTCTGTCCCTTACACAGCAAGTCATATGTCATGGATGGTGGAGGAGTTAACAGGCAACAAGGAGTACAGGCTTGACACAATGAGGAGAAAAATGGGTATTAAATTAACATAGAAGGTAGTATTTTTAGTTTTCTGATATATTATTATATGTGACCTGACCTTACTTCTTAAAATGTAAAGATGTATGTATATGTTAACTAACTGGAAACTTTGTCCACACTTATTACGCAAAAGAATTAATTTTTTGGTACCGTAAACTTAAAAATAGTTCAATGCTATTGATATTCCAAAATATTTGATTTTTTAAAAAATCTTCTAAGATATAAAATCTTCCCTTGAATAAAAATTGTTTTAGGTGATCCAAGGGTTCTACAGACCCTCATTTTATCTTCTTTTGATGTATTTGCACACAGGACAGACTCCTTTAGAAGATTTGTTGATTACTGCTTGCAGAAAATACCTCAGGAAAGGCCAACATCAGCGGAACTATTACGGGTAATTTTTCAAATTTATATTTGAGGAGGGGGCTTTAAAGTGCTGTTGTGGGGGAACATGGCAAATCATTCTCCTGGCAGCTCATGGTGACATACTGGCTTAGAGCATGCTGCCTCAACATTTACCCAGAGAGAGCAGGAGGCATAGAAACGGCAGGATTATCACGGTGTGTGCACTGTATGTTTCCTGTGGATAGTTTTTTTCCCATCATGCCCTTTTCTTTCTCACTCCACCTCCTTTTTTGCTTTATGATAAAGAGTATTTCCTCTTCTTCTTCTGGTCATCCTCGTAAAGCTCTGACGACTGACATCTGCACTTTAGTGGAACTTGAATGCTGTGTCCTCAGGACAATCTGCTGATGGGTACATGCTAGCTCAGCAATTTCAAGTTAGTTTGTTGCCACATCTTGAGGCAATGGAGATTCATGATAACTATACAAAGCCCAAGTTTACATAGTATCATGTCATGCACTCAGTGAAAGTAGTTCACAGTACTGCCTTTATTGGAAGTGAACATCACAGTTTTATGTGTCCATTTTGTGTAACATTGTTTTATAGACTTTGTACAGTGGCCACACTGGTTCATGGACATCAGCAAAGCATGTGGGAATCTTTTACAATATAAATATCCTTTATTTGGCACAGAATGACCCAGGAGTCTAACCTTTTTCTGAATGTGTATTTTTAACTCTTGTTTGTTTCATCTCTACATTGACTGCATTTTGGTACTGAGCAGGTTTTTTGTTGTTGTTTGCTTGTTGGTTTTTTTAAAAAACTTAAAAATATAAGTTGCCTTTATCATTAAAGACCACCCTAGCTGGATCACAAATTATTGGTTTATATTTTCTTTTCTTTTCTTTTTGGAACTCTGTAAATATTATTCTACTATTTTCTGGCCTTGAGTGTTCCCAAAGAGATAGACCTGAAGCTGACTATTTTTTTCAGCTAAAAGTAGGTTTTTTCTTCTTGTGAATAACAGACCACAAGAATATGGTAACAGAAACAACAGGCCCAGGGACTTGGTCTTGTTCTGCTTTGTGGTAGAGCCAGCTCATGTTCTAGACATGAAATGCTTTGTCCACCTTAGCTGCAGCTCTGCATTTCTGTAGGGAAGACAGCAACCAGAGAAAGCACCAGAAACACAAGATGGTATAGTTATCTTTTTCTCCGTATATACAAAATATATATATACACACACACATATATATACATATATATATTTTACATACATATATATGTCACAAAAAAGATAACTTAAGCTGGGGGAAAGAAATATATTGGGGCTATATTAAAATTAAGGATAAAAAAACTCCAGAAAGATAGTACAAAGATTCAAAGATAAAATTTTAGGAAAGCAGACAGTCATAGGACATAAAGCAGAAGTAGGCAGAGATAAAGATAGAAATAAAAGAGGTAAAGAAGAGAAAAAACATAACAGAGGGTAAAATAGCATTCTAAGCACTAAAATAATATAGTAGACCAACCCACTTAGAATGTTTCCACTGGTGGATAGTTTTCAGTAATAAAACCAAATTACATGCAAAAAGTAAAGGTTCTAAAGGTGGTTATAGATAAAATAATATATACGGAAGATTAAGGAGATCTAGGAGATACCAACAAATATTTCTGAAAAAGAAAATAAAACACAAGAAGGAGAAAATATTTAAAGATATACCTGAAGAAATCCTTCCTGGAAATAAATGTTCTGATCTTTCTTTGATCTGATTTGGTGTTTATTTGATTTGGTGGACCAAATCTAATGCATCCTCTATAAAGAAAGAATATATGTACATACACACACACACACACACACATATACATACTCATATATGTATCTGTACATACACATGTAAATATAAATATACATATATATGAATGATATGATGCCAGATAGATTCTTTGCAGAAAAAAATTAACCAGAAACAAGGAACTAGAGTGACAGAAGTCACTGTTCTAGGTAAGGTCTGTCTGGGAGGTGTAAGCAGAGTCCTGAAGACAAGGCACCAGAGACCCAGTCTTTAGGGTTCAGTAAATCAAACCCTGAGGATAAATACCTCCCTCTTCAGGAACATGCAAAGCTAGAAAATAATAGAACAATGTTTGCAGAATTCTAAGGCAAAGAAAATGAAAATGAAGACTTGGTGACCCAGCCAAAGTGCTCCTCAGTGTTAAAGACAGCTGACATAATCAAGTCTCACAAACTCAGTCAACCTTTCTGAGCTTTTCATTCCCCCAAAACTGATCAATAATGCAATCCTGATGATCTGGAGATGAACCACAAACAGTACCAAAATCCTGCCAATCTAGAGATGAAATGGGGAGGGGGAAGGAGGCAGACAGGTAGCAAAGAATGGAGTAGGGACTGGAGAAACTAGCAAAAGGATCAGTGGTAAATGCTGGGAATTTAAATTGCCCCCCTAATATTTATTTAGCATGACTAAAGAGATTGTACATTCTTTATTTTGAATAAGCAACACAGATTTCAAAAGGTAAAAATGTAGCAGAAGGCAGAACATGAACAGTAATTTTCCTTCCCATCGTCCCCATTTTAGTACATTCACCTTCCAGAGAGAATGCACACATATGAAAGTTAATATTCTTTTTATTTTTACACATGTTAGTAAAACATACAAATCATTCTACTTTTTTTTTTTAACCTTGTAGTGTATTTAGGATACTGTCCCATTTTACTGCATGCAGAGCTACCTTTGTTTTCAGTAGCTCCATATCTATCATTCTCATATCTACCACAATAATTGTTTAACCAGCCAGTTTAAGGGTGTCTCTGGTCTTTTCTATTACCAACTGTGCTGCATTGAACATCTTGCACATACGTCATTTTGCACCTGTATCATGATATCTAAAGAATAAATTCATGGAGGTGAAATAGCTCATTAAAGGGAATTTAAATGGATGGACTTTAAATTTAAATAGGTACTGCCCAACTGTCCTCCAGAGAGGTTGCACCAAGATATAGTCCCACTAACAGAGTCTGAGTGGTTTTGAACTATGCTGATAGTCAGATCATTAAAAAATGTTGCTTATTAGGAGTTAGGTTAAATATCTTTCATATACTGAAAATAATTTTTATTTCCTTTTCTGTGAACTCTCCATGATCTGTGCCCATTTGTCTATTGAGTTGTTAGGTGTTTTGTTTTGTTTTTACTGTTTTATAGAAACCTTGCAAATTACTATTTTCCCACTTCGTGTGTGTGTGTGTGTGTGTGAGAGAGAGAGAGAGAGAGAGAGAGAGAGAGAGAGAGAGAATGTGTATATGGTGCTGGGGCTTGAACCCAGGGTCTTGTACATGAATGCTCTGCCACTGAGTTACAAACCCAGCCCTTTTATATTTTTATTTTGAGATAGGGTCTAGCACAGTGGCTAAGGCTGACCTCAAACTTGTGATCTTACTGCCTTAGCTTCCTGAGTAGCTAGGAACCTGGCCTTCCTATTTCTATTTTTACATGCTGGCCTTTTTTCTTTTTCTTTTTCTTTTCTTTTTTTTTCTCTCTCTCTCTTATCTATCCTATCTAGTTACTCCCAAATATTTTTCAATAATCCATCTTTTCCTCATATTTTCTTCCTGACATTAAAAGCGTCACTTTTAGGATTGGAGATATAGTTCAGTGGTAGAGTGCTTGCCTAGCATGCATGAGGCCCTGGGTACAAACCCCAGTGCCACCAAAAAAACAAAACAAAACAAACAAAGTCTCTTTCACGTTGAATCCAGGTATAAACATTGAAATGCTTTAAAAACAGAATGAAGATATTATAAATATTAGCAATATAAAAAGAATAATGCAACTTGAGAAAATTAGGAATAGGAAATTATAAGTACACTAATTTTTCTCTCTGAGAATAGATGGCCAATAATATTTCTCAAATAGAAATATGTAGTTTAAAAAAAAAGTAACTACATATAAAATACATATTTATACATATACTACATACACATATATATTTTTTGTAATCTTTTCTCCCCTTAACTTTGGAGGATCTTTTAGTAACAGATAATTCTTTTCATGAAGAGATTATAACTAAAGTTAAGCAATTATTTTAATTCAGTCTCTTCTAATTCTATTAAATTCAAATGTATTATAGTTTCACAGATTATACTTAAAATTAGCAGGTACAGTCAGATTTCCAAGCAGAATTATTTCTAGATAGCCATTGTTCTGAGAGAAAGAGGGAGGGATGATCTCTAAAATGATATTTCCATAATTTTACAATATTTATTTTTGGATGATGGAATTTAGAGTGATTTATTTTTATTTTATTTTATGCAGTTTTTTATATTACTTGAATCTTTATTTTCAGAAACAACTGAAGTATTCTTTTTTTACAACTTTTCTTTCATATTATATATTGATAGTTATCAAAGAAAACACAATTTACCTTTGAAAAGCCTTTTTGTGACATAAACATGTATATATGTACATATAAAAATACATATTTATACATACACTACATACACATATATTTTTAAATAGTGAAGCACTGGTATATAGTATTTAAACTAAAGTATTCTTTTAAGAGGGTCTCAGTTCCTTTTACTTGTAGGGGTTTAGAAAACCATGAGTAGGTGGGATTGTTGGCAAAGAAGATGATCAAAGGCATAGAGATGGAAAATGCGTAGCATGAGGCCAGAATTAAACCTCAAAATACAAGCAGGAACCCAACTATAAAAGGCCAGACTTTATCCAAGAGGCAGTAAGGTATTTTTAACATGTCAAGTGTATTCACTTTCAAAAGCTTTAAACAGGTAAGGGTTTAATTATCTCATGTAATATGAAGCCCAGGATAGTAGGAAAGGAGTGCAGGTCTCTGGGCAGCTCAGCACTGTCACCATTAACCTAAGCATGTCTTCCTATTCCACCATCCTTAGCATGTGGCTTTTATCTTCCTTGTCACCAAATGACTGCTACATGTCTATAACTCAAGTCTTTAGTCTAGGCAAGAATTAGGGGAAAAGACAAAGGGCAAAACCTCTTCATATGTGCCTTGACTTTTTATTCTAGAAAACAAAACCTTCCTCATCGGCTTCTGCCTGTGTGTCATTGGCCACACTTGTGATCTCTGACAGCAAGGAAGGGGTGGGGGCAGTTATTTCCCCTCCTCAGAGAGGCTTTCCCCTCATTTCTGCTTTTATATCTGCATGGGGAAATGAAGTTGCCAGAAGTCTGACCTCTAGATAGATTGAACAGCTGCCATATTTTCAAGCATATATAATGTGACCCCAGGAGCAGAAAACAAAATATGCACAACTCTGTTTTACAAAAGATAGTGTGTGGTGGAGAGGAGGATCGAGGCAAATTATCAGCAAGAATAGGCTCTGCTTTGCTCTGCTCTTGCTTATTATATTGTTTCAGGTTTGAAAGGTACAAACCTCTCTGTTACTATTGAAGTTCTTGTAATTTTTGTTACTTATATGATAAAGTAAACCTCGGGAGATAAGAAGGACTGGCAAGGATATGGAGAAAAGGGAAGCCTTGTTCGCTGTTGGTGGGAATGTAGATTGATGGAACAGCACGGAGGTTCCTCAAAAAATTTAAAGTAGAACTGCCATATCATCCAGCAATTTGTCTTCCGGTTCTATACCTAAAGGAAATGAAATCATATCTGGTAAAGATATGTACAGCCCCACGTTCCTCTCAGCATGAGCCACAATAGCCCAAATCAGGAAACAGCTTAAGCATCCATCAGTGGATGAAAGAATAAAGACACACACACACACACACACACACACACATTTTTCAGCCTTAACAAAGGAGAGCCTACTATTCGCAACAACATAGATGAATCTAGAGAACATCATGCTAAGGGTAAAAAGAAAGCCAGATACAAAAAGAAAAATACTGCAGGAATTCTCTTAAGCATAGAATCTAAATAAAAGAAATGTTTTGTAGAAACAGAGTAGAAAAGTGGTTGCAGGGCTGGAGAATGGGGAGATGAGATCAAAAGTTACAAACTTGCAGTTAATTGGTGTAGAGAGCCAAAGTGCAACATTTAGACTATAGATGATAATACTGTTTTATAATTTCATCCTGGAAATTTGCTCAGGCAGTAGATTTAAGGTACTTTGCTGCACACAAAACACACAAAGTGATGTGACGTGGATGGACATGCTCATTGACTTCACTGTCGTTATCATTTTGCTGTGTCTATGTATACCAAAACACCTCTTTGCGTGTCTTAAATCTGTATAACAAAAAGAAGACTTCTTATACAAACTCTCAGTCAAAATCTACAAAATGGAGCTTGAGGAAGAAGATAAAAGCACACTTATCTCTACATGAGATTTATGGGAGGGTACCTGACATGAAAATCATATCTGGCTATTTCTGCAAAATCCATCATCTTGTTTTATACTTCTCTGTTTACTTTTATACCATCATCTTGTACCTAAAAATGTTTCTTCATTATCGGTTTCTTTTTTCTTCTCCCTCAATCAGCACGACTTTGTTCGCCGAGAACGGCCACCGCGTGTCCTCATTGACCTCATACAGAGAACAAAAGATGCCGTCCGCGAGCTCGATAACCTCCAGTACCGGAAAATGAAAAAGATCCTTTTCCAAGAAACACGAAATGGACCCTTGAACGAGTCCCAGGAGGATGAAGAAGTAGGTTCAGTTTATTCCAGTGGGCAAAGCACCTACTATGTGCAAAAGTTCTGGGCTGGGCACTGTGAGAAAGACTTTTGAGGATAAAAATACTCCCTTAAGAGACATTCGGGGTTGCAGAAGAGACCATCTTAAAAGAACTCTTCTGAAGGCCATCTAGGGAAAGTGCTGAAGAGTGTATCAGCCTGCCTTTGTGGGATGGGATGGGTCTGCTGAAGGCAATTCATGGAGGTTCCTCTAGCACCTGACATGGGTGGGTTTTGACAAATAGGCTTAGGCCACGTTAGACTCAGGGGAGGAGGTGTTATAAGCAGAGCAGTTCTCTGCAGCTCAGCAGTGTCACCCTAAGCAAGTGTCCCTCTTCCACCATCCTTAGCATGAGGTTTTTATCTTCTTGAGCTTTAGGAGGATTATCCTGGCAACCTGGGCCCCACCTAGATAGCAATCCTTGCCAGAGGTAGTAAGGACAGTGACAATGGGAATGGAGGAGGGGGAGGAGCACATTTCAGAGATAGATTTGCCAACACATGGCCTCTCACTGAAACTGACAGTGACAGATGAGGAGTTTAAGGTGACTCTAAGAACTTGAGCCCAACTATTTAAGAGGATGTCAATACCAAGAATGGACAATAAGAACTAAGGAGAAAGAGTAGGTTTAGAGCTAGGCTTGGTGGCACATGCCTGTCATCCCAGTGACTCAGGAGGCTGAGGCAGGAGGATTGCAGGTTCAAAGCCAGCCTCAGCAATGGCGAGGCACTAAGCAACTCACTGAGACCCTGTCTCTAATAAAATACAAAAAGGGCTGGGGATGTGGCTCAGTGGTCGAGTGCCCCTGAGTTCAGTCCCTGGTACCAAAATTTAAATTTAAATTTAAAAAAAAAAGAATGGGTTTAGAATGACTTCATTGTGGTGCCTAATGAGTTTAAGGTCCCAGCATCATATACTACTGACATGGTATATAGAGGAAGTTCTTAAAGGAGAGACAGCTCCTGGTTCTCCTGAAAAGAACTGCTCAAAAACCAAGGTGGTGACGGTTGGGACACATGAACATTGATGTCCAGCAGATGCTTGGGGTATACGAACCTGGAGCACAAGAAAGAGGTCCGGGAAAGTGGGGAGCAGGCTGGGCATCAAGAGCATTCAGATGGCAGTGAGTCACAGGCTTGAGTGGAGAATGGAAAGAGGGCCTGTGTGTCACAGGAAATAAAGGCATTGCAGACCTCTTCTGAAAAAAAAAACTTCAGAAGATCTGAGACAGGATGCTGTCAGATGCCAGAGAGGTCAGGATAAACAAAGAGATATATTTTACACACACACACACACACACACAGATATATATATAATATGAACCAGGCTTTACAATTAAGGCATCCTTGATGACCTTAATAAAAGCAATTTTACAGGACTAGGTAGGACACATTGTAGATTAGGAACAAATGAGAGATGAGAAAAAGTGGAGACAGCTAAAGTCCATCATTTTAAGATTCAGAAGTTTGGCTAAGAAGATCAGTACGAAGTAGTCAGCATGTAGAAGGTTCATAAGTATGGGGCAGGCCTCGGGTACAGAGGATGTGGAGCCAGGACAGAGGCATTGAAGGTGAAGGAAGGAGATGCAGTTTAAAAAGTGGGATGGATTGAAACAAGTGCATTGCTGCAAGAATTAGCCTTGAACAAAAAGAAGGACCCTGCTGGGCACAGTGGTGCACACCTGTAATCCCAGCAACTCAGGAGGCAGGAGGATCATAAATTCAAGGCCAACCTCAGCAACTTTAGGAACACCCTGTGTCAAATAAAAACTAAAAAGGGCTGGGGAGATAGCTCAGTGGTAGAGCACTTATCTAGCATTTGTGAGGCCCTAAGTTCAATTAAAGAAAGAGAGAAAGAACTCCTTTACCTCTAAAACTAAATAAAAGGGAAGGAAGGATGAATGAATTTAGCTTTTTTTTTTTTTTTTTTTTTAATATTTTTTATTTTTTTGTTTTCAGTGGACACAACATCTTTTTTTTTAATTCTAATTATCTTTTTTTTTTTTTTTTTAGAGAGAGAGAGAAATTTTAATATTTATTTTTTAGTTTTCGGCGGACACAACATCTTTGTTTGTATGTGGTGCTGAGGATCGAACCCGGGCCGCACGCATGCCAGGCGAGAGCGCTACCGCTTGAGCCACATCCCCAGGCCCTAGCTTTTTAATATATAAAAAAATTAACTTATTTTACCAATAATCATAAAAATGAAACCCAGAAAATGACATTTGAGCTATACAAATCTCTTGTTTACATACATAGAAATGATCCTCTTTAATTGGGAAAATAAATCTATTAAAAATTTATTATCTATCATTTTTTATTACCCTGTGATTCCTTATATTGCCATGACTAAGTAACAATTCATTAAAGTTATATGTGTACAGTGTGGTTCTATGAAAAGAAAGTTTATTTGTAGCCAAGTTCATTTAATTACATTATTTAATCTTATATCAAAAGATATGCCACTGTGACAGATAAATTATATGTTCAGATTATTTTACCACTTTTCAAATAGTAGTCTTTGGACCAGTAGTGATGAATATCAATATTATTTAACAGATATGTTTAATAAGATTACGGAGGTAAGCATGATAGGATTGCTTAAGGGAGGCAGAATTTAATTACCTGTCTAGGACAGTAGAATTAATATCCCTGCTTAGATATAAAGTTACTCAATAATGACTTGCAGAGGAGCATATTGCTTGTCACATTGCTGAAAACTCTTTCCACTCTACTTCAGTTTCAGGTGACCACTGCTCTATTTGCAGATGTCCTACCTGTTTGGTGGCCAGCAGTCTCTCTCTAGCACCATGATGTTCCAAAGATCTCTTACAGACCCAGGGAGATTCTGCTTAGTGTAGCAATCTGATGACAGCCTTGTGTGTGACAGGGGAAAACCCGGGGATGGAAGCCTTTGGAATCTTCTATCCCATGTCTACAATAGCCCCCGGGGAAAGCGTAGAGTGAATTTGAAATGTCTGAAAAAGCAACCTGGTACATACCTGTAATCCCAGCGACTCAGGAGGCTGAGGCAGGAGGATTGAAAGTTTGAGGCCAGCCTCAGCAATTAGCAAGACCCTGTTTGAAAATAAAAAAATAAAAAGGTTGAGGATGTAGCTCCATGGTAAAGCGCCCCTGGGTTTAGCACCCTCCCAAAAAAGGTACATGAAAATGGTGGGGGAACTAATGGAACCAAGACCCAGAGTGTTTATCTTTGGAGACTGGCAGAAAAGCGAGTTGGCACTGCAGGATGGAGCATGCTTCAGAGCTTAGTCGTGGATTTCAGCTTTGTCTATAGTTACTTTTTTTTTTAACCCTGATGCGCATTTTTATAGGACAACGAACATGGGACCAATCTGAACAGGGAAGTGGACAGCCTGGGCAGCAACCACTCCATCCCAAGCATGTCGGTGAGCACCGGCAGCCAGAGCAGCAGTGTGAACAGCATGCAAGAGGTCATGGATGAGAGCAGCTCGGAACTCGTCATGATGCACGAGGAGGAAAGCACAGTGAATTCCAGTTCCTCTGTGCTGCACAAGAAGGTGAGTTTCCTGGGAGTGTCTTCTGCACCGGCTTTATCACTCACACGAAAGTGGCTCAGACACCGGGCTTGTCTGGTCAGTTCCCTTTTGCAACTGAAATGTGGGGCTAAACCTAGCACTTGAGAGTCTTCTGACAGTAAAAGGATACTGAAGGACTATGTGGGCTCTGTCTCTGCTATTTCTACCTCTTCCTCTCTTACTGCTCTGATGTCCACCAGCATCAATAAATAAAGGAAAATAAATCCATAACTCTAAACATCAACAAATCCAGGACGTCCTTCGCTAAACCAGTGACCTTCCTGCCGCATACCATCAAAGCTTTCCAGGTATGACCTGTTGGTGGTGCCCCAGGCCATCTGTTTTAAAAAGGGTTCTACTCTTCTGTTTCTTGGATATATTACTTGTATTTCTAAGGCTAGCTTCCTGCCGGCTTAAGTATTCTGACTTTGGAACAAATATTTCTGTTTTTTTAATTTTGGTCTACATTCCCAATTAAATAGTCTCCTTTTGTATGAGTCTTTTAAAGGTGACATTCTTTTTTTAATATATTTATTTAGTTGTATATGAACACAAGTATCTTTATTTATTTTTATGTGGTGCTGAGGATTGAACCCAGTACCTCACACCTGTGAGGCAAGCACTTTACCAACTGAGCTACAGCCTCAGCCCCAAAGATGACATTCTTTATGAAAAAAAATATTTTTAAGTTTTAAGCATATTTCAAAACAGTTCTGTATAGTATTTTATAGAATTGTCAATAATTAGCTGTAGGAATTCTCAAACAGTGTTTTGAGAGACTTTTTGGGTAAGCAGCCTATAGCATGGGATTATAGAAAAGGATCTCTTATAACTTTTTTCTTGTTAGGGATACATGAGGAATGTATATACTTGTTTTAATGAATTGCAGTGATCATTCTAATTCCATGAAAAAACATGTTTAATATTATTTTTTCACTTAGACTTCTCTCACTTCTGCTTTTTTCTTGGGATTAAAAGGAAACTGGGGAAGGGTAGAGGGCAGGAGGGAGTACAATGGTGCCTGGTCATGAATGGTGGTGGGATGCATGTTTATTTTCTAGAACTGATAATCGTTTACTCAACAAATACAGGTGGGAACCTTTACTGTGTGCAAGGAACCATGGTAGACCTACGTATACAGGGAAAATAAAATAGTTAAGGCGTCTTCATGGAGCTTGTCATCTGTGGGGGAGATAAAACAAATAATCCCACGAAGAACGATATAAAGTTTTTAAGAAATTTGCAAGTGGAATGTATCATTTTACTCCAGAACCTCTCATATAGAACTCCAAATTGGGAAAAGATACCCCTGGTGTGGTAACGAGATAGAAGGCCCTGGCCTGGAATTCTTTGAGGATTTTAATTTTAATTTTAGCATGCTACTTTAGAGCTACCTTGTGATAATGCAGCTCTTTCAATAATTTCTCTCTTCTGATCACTGAAGAAGAATAGGTACACTTTATCATCGGAGATAGTACACAGTTGCATTTGATGCACACATACACCCCCCAAAAAGTAGGCCTTAATCTAGAGAGAAATACTGAAAAGCCTACCTGACAAGAAAATTTAATCTTGAATCTGAAAGACAAGCAGAAGCTAGCGACCTTGGGGGGATACACTGAGCTAAGTCAGAAAGCAACAAGTCCAAAGGCCCTCAGACAAAAGGAGTACTGCATGTCCCCGGAAGAGGGGAAAGGCCAGAGACATTAAAGCCTGGGGAGTTGTGGTGGACAGCAAGCTGGGGGAGACAGCAGCGACCCGGATTATCAGGAACCACGGAAGTTTAAGGAAAGAAGTGACAGAAAGCCGCTAGCTAGGCTCAGCATTGCCGCAGCTGCCATTGAACATGGGCAAGTAGTCATGTATTTGAGGAGTAGGAAAGGTTTCCTGGGCTGTTTCTGGAGGGAGCCATCATGGGCATCTACAGGTCTGGCTCTCTCCTTTTTGATACCTGTGGAGCTCCATGAGTACGAGGAGCCAAAGAAGGGCAAGTGGAATATATCTTTTTACTCCAGAACCTCTCAGATAGGACCCCCAAATTGGGAGAAGATACCCCTGGTGTGGAACAAGAAAGAAGGCCCTGGCCTAGAATTCTTTGGGGATTTTAATTTTAATTTTAGCATGCTATTATAGAGATACCTGTGATAATGCAGCTCTTTTAATACTTTTCTCTCTCTGATGTGATCACTGAAGAAGAATAGGTACACTTTATCATTGGAGGTAGTACATAATTGCATTTGATACACACATACACCCAAAAAATGGTCAGGATGACTTTCATGTAATGTATTTCTATTTTATTATGAAATATATAAGGAAATTGTAGTTCCATGGAATTGAAACATCTGCAAATAAAAAGTTGAATGGGTTAACTTTGAATTACAAGTAGGCTAGAAAAAATTTCAATATAATATGCAAAAACTTAATGTCAAATGTGCTTTCTGTGCATAGCATCTATTTAGTCTTACTACCTGAGCTTTAAAACACTTTATATATATTTTTTTTAGTTTTTTAGTTGTAGATGGACATATTTATTTATTTTTATGTGGTGCTGAGGCTGAACCCAGTACCTCACCCATGCAGGGCAAGCGCTCTACCACTGAGCTACAGCCACAGCCCAAATACACTTTATCTTTAAAAATAATATAAGTGCAAAATTATTCAGAAAGTTTATATTTATTAATCTACTCAAGTTCCTAAAATTGGAGCACATAAATGAAATAGGATCTTAAACTCTCAGTAGAAAATTCTGCGTGTCAGACTACAGGAATGAGGAAAACTAGTTTCCGGTTCTTTCTGCCACTCCTAGTTGTATTTTACTTTGGACAAGTCCCAACCCTCTCTGGGCCTCAGTTTTTCCAACTGAAAAATTAAGATTTATTCTGCATGATTTCAGAGATTCCTTCCAGGTCTAGAATTCTGTGCTTCTATTCCTATAATCCTGAAAAAAAGCAGTTCTCAACCGCACCTCAGCTAGGACAGGTGTGCTTTGCTCTCTTCCATTTTCTATTTGGAGTCTATTAAATCTCCCTAGAAAGGAGGGATCTAGACGCCACTGGCCCAATCAGACCCTTCTCCACACAGATGGATGGCAGCTCCACTGTGTCACATGTAAGTGTGGGGAACACTGTGATCTACGTTGGATTCTCCAGGAAGAAATGAGACAGCGTAGCCCTGCTAGATTTTCTTTAAATGAGGAAGTTTTCCTCAGAAAGCTAAGAGTCCTGTGTTTTCTGTCATATATGGAATGTAGAGAGAAAAAAGTGGGAAAAGGTGTGTGGAGGGAGTGTGTGTGGGGTCTTATGAAAACAGAAGGGAGATCAGTAGAGGTAGGGGAACAGGGGAGGGAAAGGGGAGGTGATGGGAAACAAACTGACCAAATTACATTGTCATACTGTGTGGATGTGCAAATATGTAACAACAAATTCCACCATTATGTGTAATCATACTGCACCAATTAAAAAGAAAAAAATAGGAGCCAGGCACAGTAGTACAAGCCTATAATCCCAGCAAGTCCAGAGGCTGAGGTAGGAGGATTGCAAGTTGGAGGCCAGCCTGGCAATTTAGCAAGACCCTATCTCAGAATAAAAAATCAAAAGAGGTGAGGTGTGGCTCAGTGCTAGAGCATCCCTGGGTTCAATTCCTAGTACCACAAAAATAAATAAAAATGGAAGTTCCCCTTGGATGAACACCTGTGGGAAGGAGAGGACTGCAGTATGGGCTGAGATGCAGGTCCGCTGGACGCCTCCGCCCACCCCACAATAAGCACTGGCTGGAGGAATGGCCAGGTCTAGATGCCACAGCCTCCATCAGTCATTTGCACATGGGCAGCTGGAAAGGATGTGTTCTTGGGCAAGTTTGCTCTGCAGCTGACATGATGCCTGAAGGGGCTGACACCTAAGACCATTGCCACCAGCTCTCCATGCAGGTGGAGCAGGAAGACTTCCTTCAGGGAGTCTGGACAGAGCATATCTGAGTCTAGTCTAGTTTCTGACCAGCGGGGGTGGGAATTTATTTTATTTATTTATTTTTTTATTTTTTGGTCCAGGGGATTGAACCCAAGGGCGCTCTACCACTGAGCTATATCCCCATCCCTTTTTTAATTTTTAAATTTTGAGAAAGGGTCTTGTTAAGCGGCTAATGCTGATCTTGAATTTGCAATCCTCCTGTCCTAGTCTCCTGAATGACTGGAATTACAGGAATGTGTCACTGTGCCTGGCCACAAAGGTTATTTTGGAAAGAAGTCAAGCAATATAATTTTTTAAAACATTGACCAGTTTTTCCTGGATTCATGCCCAAAATCTTAGAAAAGCTAATATATTATTAAATTTTCATACAATAAGCAATTTTCTAACCTTGATCTCATTATCCTATTTTATTTTCTTTTTAATGTTTGTCATAATATAAAATCATATTATTAATAATTTGTTTATTATCTCATGATTAGAATGTAAACTGTTGGGCAAGGACTATGCCTACTTTGTTCAGTGCTATATAGTGCTTGCCATGGTGTAGACACTCAGTAAATAATTGTAAAATGAGTGAATGGGTGGATGGATTACTTACCAAATGCTAACCATCCTACCAATCTGGTTCTGGAACATAATTGATTAAAGGGTTAAATAGTCTTAAGTATGATCTCTATGGTTTGAAAGAATTATTTGTTCAATAATAATGCCCAAGACAATAAGAATATGCTTAATAAATACCAAAATATAAGAAGAGGGATGAGGAATTTTTTGTTTCTCTGATTGTTATACTCAAGCAGGTGTACACCAAGTTAGTTAATCATAGATGTAAAACAGATTACCATTTTATACAAGAAGTAACCTGACCTTCTGCTACCAGGGATTGAACCCAGGGGGTACTCAACCACCGAGCTACATCCTCAGCAATTTTTTTTTTCCTTCTTCATTTTGAGACAAGGTCTCACTATATTGCTTAGGGCCTCACTAAGCTACAGAAGGGCCTTGAACTTGGCAATCCTCCTATCTCAACACCCCGCTTCCCATTGCTAGGATTAGAGGCCTGCACCATGGTGCCCAGCTAATAAACTGACTTTTAGGCCATGTGTAACTAGTGCCCGTGTTACTTGCAGTTAAGTGCTCTGCGTCAGAATACAGATGCCCTGATTTAGCAGGACAGGTCTGCTATCAAGGCTCACCCTCGTTTTAAAGCAGGATGCTGAAAATTTACCATCGGCATCAGAGTTTCAGGTTACCTGGCTCTCTCCCTATTGCTCACCTCCACCCTAGTCTTTCCCAGCCCCTAGAGAGATCCTAAGCTAATCTTTTTGAGCAAAATTGATAAGTCTAAAAGTATACTCTGACAAAACAGACTTTAAGTTCTTATTCCACTTCCTCTCCCTAGTTTTCAGTAGCAGAAATGCCACCTGTCCCTGAACTGGTAGCCCCTCAAGGACACCTCTCTTCACCTCCAGCACTCTGTCACACAGGAAGCATTCAGTATGTGTTCTGTGAACTCTTTTGGTGATGGTGATGGTGGTGGTGGTAGTCCATTTGCTCAGGGTCTGTTTAAGCCGCTGAGCTGGCCTCAGACTTGGGATCCTCCTGCCCCAGCCTCCCAGGTGCACATAACCACACCCAGCCAAAGGAAGACTCTTAGGTACACAACTTCATACCTCAAATCTTGATTCTTCGAAGTGACTCCGGAGCAAACTTCAAATCCAGTTTAGTTTCTCTGCCATCATCTCACATGCTTCTGGATCTCCTCCCTACTGCTTGCAATCACTGCATGCATAGCAGTAGCAAATGACCTTTAACCTTGTCCTACATGATAAAATCTATTTTTTTTTAATTTTGTGAATTAAAAGGTGTACTTAGAGGCTGGAAACGTAGCTCAGTGCTGGAGCACTTGCTTGTCATGCACAAGCCCCTGAGTTCCATCCCCAGCATCCCCAAAACAAACAAAAAACCAGGCAGACTTGCATTTTGTTGAAGTCTAAAAGCACCGCTTTTGCCTGCTGTTTCCTTCTGTTCTACAGATCATGAGGCGTCAGTATCTTAAAGGCATTGTTCTTCAATCAGTGTTATTTCAGGTATGATTAAATTCAAACACAATGGCCCTTTTTTAATGGGAATTACTTATGGAAAATATTTTTAATCATTCTTTTCAGTTGTTTCTCCCCTGTTCTTTAAAAAAAAAAAAAAAAAAAAACAGCTTTCACCATTTTTGTAGGAGGAAAAAAAAGAAGAAGAAATGTCCTTGGGGGATAGGATGTTCTGGTTTAATTTTCACTTGCTCTGGTGGCCTCTCCTGTTATTTTGCTCAACAGAGAGGCAAGTTCTCTGACTCTTGGATTCACATTTGGCAAAGTAAAAGTAATTTAACGGGCTGGGGTTGTGGCTCAGTGGCAGAGCGCTGCCTCTCACACGTGAGACACTGGGTTCGATCCTCAGCACCACATAAAAATATTGTGCTCATGTATAACTAAAAAAATATTTTTTAAAAAAATTTAAGTAATTTAATGTATGAATGTCCAAAGCAGCCACCCTCCCTCTAGTCACATCTTCGCCCTCATCTCCTTGTCATCCTTCCTCCCTGACTGTCTTTCCATCTTCTGTTCCCCACACTCCAGCCCCAGGTCCTGATAACTGTACCTGCTTCAACCATCAGGAATGGATTTGAAAGGAATAAAACAAAGGAGAGATGGTGGGGTCTACCAGTCCCTTTTCCACAGCATAAAAAGTGTGGGAGTCTATAGAGGTCTTCACATCATGGGATAAAAGCCATTCTTAGACACACACACACGCGCGCGCGCACACCTACCCCAGAAAGGTGTGCTCATGTGTGCTTGTGTGTGTGTGTGTGTGTGTGTGTAACTATTTTATGACTTTCTTAGAGTACAGAGTGGCAGGTTTTATGAAATACAAATTTGAATTCTGTTAAATAATCCAAGAGAAAATGTCATTTTCTCAAAAATCTCCTCAAAGCTCTATTCTGAGCTTGTTTATTCAGCAAACATTTACTGAATGCCTACTAAGTATCAAGCACTGTGCCCGGTGCTGGGGAGACTGAGATGTTTCAAATCACATTTGCTCTGCCTTCAAAAAGCTCACCCTCTCACGCAGAGCCAGACAAGTGAGTATGATGAGCGTTGTGATAAAGGAAGACCCCAAACATACTGGAGCCCTCAGAAACAGCTTACAAGCCAAGTTCAAGGTAGCATAAACTCTAGGCAGGTGATTGCACCATGAATCTGCATCTCAGATGTGTAATACCAGATGCTTAGTGGGGACCTCTAGATAAGAGCAAAAACCCATTGTCCAGGGCATGAGAATAAAGTTTATGTCTCCTAGTTAATATTTTTCACTATATCGTAAAATATTCTTTCCACTAAAGATTTTGAACAAACATTACAACATTTTTTTAATCTGTGGAAATTTATTTTTTATAACGGAAGAGTGTTGTAATTTATCAGGTTAGCACACAGTGACTTAAAGCAGGTCCCTAATCATATTGGAAATTCAAGGAACTATCTTATTGGTTCCTGGATGGTAATGTTTTAAGGTTAAATTATACCCAAGCCATATATTTGATCTTGGTAAAATAGAACATGATATTTCTTCTTCATCTCCTGAAATAATTCTTCAGAGTTGATGTTGGCCCTCTCATCTTCATTGGCAAATAATCTGCATATGCTGCCTAACTGCATAAATTAACAAATTGATCCTTTCCATCATGAATCTTACAGTGTGTGCAGTTCAGAGCTAGATACAGTGGCACATACCTGTAATCCCAGCTTCTCTGGAGCTGAGGCAGAAGGAGCCAAGTTTAAGGCCAGCCTGGGCAAGTTAATGAGACTTTGTCACAAAACAAAAAAATAAAAAGTGCTGAGGATGTAGCTCAGTGGTGGAATACCCCTGGGTTCAATCTGCAGTACCAGGAAAAAAAAAAAGGATGCAGTTCAGAAATTCTGGGAGCGGAGTACAGTGGTCATTTTCAAAGGGACTGTTGCCTGATGGGACAGTGTAACAAACAATATTTAATTTGTTTGGGCCTACTTATCAGATCACATTACCCTCTTTTTAAAATTGGTTCATTAAGGTCTGGGGCTATAGCTCAGTGGTAGAGTGCTTGCCTAGTACATGTGAGGTACTGTGTTTGATTCTCAGCATCACATAAAAATAAAGATATCGTGTCCATCTCCAACTAAGAAAACATTTTTTAAAAAATTGCTTCATCAAGTTATCTTTGGAGTTTTTAATGTATTTTATACAGTGAAATTGAGTATTTTTAAAAATTTATTACCTGAGGCTGGGGATGTAGTTCAGTAGCAAAACAAGTCCAAGGCCCTGGATTTGATTCCAGCAATACACACACACATGCACACACATGAAAACGTAGCGCACGCACACACACACCCCCACACACACACACACACACTTTCTAATTCACTCGAAACGGGTATCTACTGTTAGGCTAAAGTGTTACCTCATTTCATTGCCTTTTGCATAATATTTGAAGACTTTTAATTTCTGATAGAAAACTGCCCTGGAAAACTAAGAATTCTTTTATAAAAGAAAAAAAATTAGGAAGAAGCAAGGAATTATACCATTATCATTAATTATTATATTTATATTTAAAGTAGATTAAAATTTTGGACCTGTTTTTGAACTACCTTCTAAAATAGCATTGTTTGTAAAATATATCTTAGTGGGTAATTTCATTACACATGTATCAACTAAAACAACGTGATTTTGAATTTTTAACTTTTCCGCTGTATTCCAATTTCTTTATGTTTAAAAAACTTACAAAATATAGCATGGCTTTTAATTTGATAACCAGGGTTCTAACCTCAAAATACTGATTTCTATTAGAAATGAAACAAACTAATCAACTTACACTAATTTGGGCATGAACAAGTTTTATTTTGACCTGACATGTGGGTGACGTGAATTCTACTGTCACTAGTTTATCTTCATAAACCACATTTTTACAGTGTGAAACTTAGCTGCTACTGCATATTTATGGTCTCCCGCTCAATCAGTGTATTTAATTTGTTAGCCAACTAATAGTCACCAAAACTATGACTTGGTAAGGTTATGTATAAAACCACAGGCATCTGCCTCCTGTCTCTCTTGTGTCTGCTGGCATTTAAGGCTGTATGCCTTTCTGTGGCTGTCATATTAAGGAAGTTCAATTTTGGACATAAAGATGATTTATAAATAAATGTACAGTAATGAAATGGTAGCAGATCCCAGGGCCTTCCTCTTTAGAACCTTACACCTGGTGCAGGAATCCCAATCATACACCTTATTCCCTGTGAAATTAGTTCAGATTTCCCGGAAGTAATACAGAGTAATTTTAACCCACCCCCTGAAGCAGTTTCTTGTAAGTTTCAATTTTTAACCAATTGTGCATGGTCTGGTAGAACTTCTGCAATGATGGAAATGTTCTACATTGGTGCTGCCCAACCTGGTGGCCACTAACTCTGGCTACTGAATGCTTGAAATGTAGCTGGTCTCACTTAGGAACTGAATTTTATGCTTTGTTTCATTTTAATTAATTTTAAATTAACTTAATTTAATTCATCTTAATTAAAATAGCCACATGTGGCTAGTGGCTATCTTTTTGAATAGCACAGCTATAGAACATCCCAGGATGGCATGTTTATTAAAGATCTCTTCATTTTTGAATTTTGACACATAAATGGAAAAAAAAGGTCTAAAAATAGATGAAATAGATGTAACGGGAGATACCTTCCCAATATATCAAAACATTTTAAATTATAAGAGGAAAAAGAAAATCAGTCCAGTGATAAGTTTAATCTAGAACTTGCTTTTACATAAAAATCTGGGTGTATAATTTAATTTCCTCCAAGAAATATATGTGTTTTGGCTTTTCAAATTTTTAGACAATAATAAAATTTTATGTTTTCTAAGCCTCTTTAGTTCCTATTTTCTGAAGAAGGAAAGGGCAATTATTAAAAATTTCAAGGAATCGTGGACAAAATGCAAAACTGACTTCACAAATGGTTTTCCTTCTAAAACCCTAGGGAAGTAAGGAATGAATTTCTCCTTCCCCATCTTAAATGTGTTGCTCTTTAAAAATCCCCCACAGTTGTACATTTTTTAGCTGCAAATTACTCGAGTACCTTTTTTACCTGAGGGGTCAGAGCTACTCACTGACTGACCATCTCATCTTTATAGAGAGGAGCTTTGTCCTTTGAAAGCATTTTCCCCTTTAAAAGTCATTTCAGTTGCGTTTAAGAAACATCCATTATTATCCTTCCAGGGAATGTGATTTTTCACTGGGCGTTAGAATAAGATTAATCATCTTCGCCTATCAAGAAACACAGGCTTGATTAAATCAGACAAGGACATTAAATTCCAGCTTTACTCACTCTGGTGACATACCGACACCGAGTTGAGGGAGAATTTGTGAAAGTATCATTTGGCTGAAATTGTACGCCTGTCTCTTTAAATCTAAAAAAAATCCTTTCAGAAGCTGTAGAGAGAAGGTGCTAGAACTGTGTACGATCATGACTGGAAAGCAGGATCCCTCAGTGACTGCCGAATCTTCCCAGCACAAGATAGAGAGGCAGTTCGGCACACGCCTCCACTGGTTCTAGACAGAACGATGATCCTACCGACCAGATCTCAAATAAAATTCAATTGAGAACGCAGATCTTTCAAGGGAATGAGGCGGAGGCTCGCTTTTATGTCAAAAGCCACCAGCATCCTCCTTGCTAGACATGGACATGACATTTTTAAAGGAATTATTTGGTTACAGCGTTTTAAGCAAACTGTTCTGAGAAGTCTGTACATTGCATTGTTTTTTCTGTTCTTTTTTTCTTTTGCATATATGTAATTCTGGAGGTAAAGAAAAAGCCTGCCAGGGATTCAGAAGGCATCCCACTAGCGATCAGCTGACATTCCTAACTGAAGGCTGCAATGTGTTGCTTATTCATTTTGTACCGTGGGAGCTGCGGGGACTAGCAGAGAGCTAAACTATGCATTTCAAACAGCAGTGCTTGTGCAGAAAGAGGGGTGAGAGAGAGGCAGCCGGCGAGGAAAGAGCACAGCTGGACTTTCTCCTTGTTTTTATCCATTTCTGCAGGATCATGTATTCATAAGGGATGAGGCGGGCCACGGCGATCCCAGGCCTGAGCCGCGGCCTACCCAGTCAGTTCAGAGCCAGGCCCTCCACTACCGGAACAGAGAGCGCTTTGCCACGATCAAATCAGCATCTTTGGTAAGCAAACACCCCTCTACCCACCTTCCCTTCCTTCCCCTCCTCCCCGTCTGGCAGCCTCTCGCCCTCCCTGAGCCTCTCTGGGCTTCATGGATGGAAGGAAGGGAGTCAAGAATGTTTTCTCCCTTCTAATAATTTTATTCATTTTAGAAAAAAAATCTGTTGGCATAGCAACCTGAGCTCAGATATTTTAGCATTGTCTATGGCATGGAAAAAAAAAAAAAAAACCTTTGTGTGTGTGTGTGTGTGTGTGAGTGATTGTGTGTATATATTTGTATCTGCTGTATGTGCAAAATATAAGGCCTTTGAGATGAGTGGCTAGCCTGTTTAATTTTTTAAAAGCTATCTGTCTTTTCATTGAAATAAATAATGCTAAAAATGTTCTTAAAGGTATTGATGTATGTGCATGCAGGGCACTGCTTCTTTTTGTATATTGCATGTGTGTCTGTAATGTACACACACACACATGAAAAGATAAAAAACAATTTTTAAAAATATATGGTTGCTGGCTGATGTCTCTAATTGGAGAAAAATCAGATACTTGCTACCCAGGGATGGATTGCTGGTTCGTTCTGGTTCATTCATTTATTTATTGCAACAATGGTAGTGGCTGCACTTCCCCATTTAACCCCTAAAGAATTTCCGGCACCAATAAAGCAAGAAGGGCTTTTAGGAGAGGAGAGGGCTGATCGTGGAAGAAAAGGGGCTGTAGGATTCTTCAGCATTTTTACTATTGCAAATGTGATTGCTGGATGCCCTTGTAGTAGCAAAAGGGGTGTGTGCTGGAAGAGTTAGTTTTCATGCCTCCTCCCCTTGGCCCCCCACGCGTGCGCGTGCGCGCTCACACTCACACACATACACACTCACACACACACACACACAGACATCGTTTCATCCTTGGCATTGTAAACTCTCTTTAATCTTTTCCTCCTTCATCTCACTTCTCAGCCAAAAAATTATTGAAATATTAGTTGTTTTGCCCAAATTGATGTTAGAGGTCACATGGGCAGAAAGAGTTAGTATACACTGCTTGGCTATTACATTTAGAACCTATGATGACATCATCGGAGGCCGACCCAGAAATGATCATTTTTCTTGTCCTATTTTTCAAACCCAATTTCTACTTTTATTTCTCAAGTCTTCCAAGGCTCTGATTATCTTTGAAATTTAGAATGGATCATACTCTTGAAAAACCCAAATATAGGGAAAATGGAAGTTAAAGCCCCTTCATATTTTGCTCATGCCTGCTGCTGTCTAAAAGCAAGCAATTTAATTTAGACTGCTTATAAATAATCCCACTGTTAAGTTCCTTTATGGAGAAGTTTCTTGTAATGCTTTGAAAGGTAATTTTTCATTTTCAAGGAATGCTCTGCTGTGTAATGGAGATCTTAAAATGTCCACTATGTAGTTGCTAATGATTGTTAAGCACCTAGAAATGTGCTTTTGAGTCTAAATAAAGTATCATGGGATTATTAAATAATAATTATCTTCCTGCCATGATGTCTGACAAAAGAATACATATGGTATTTGAGAGCACCATTGCTACTTACCACAGACTCTGGTGAGACTTGTACCTTTATCCAAACCTGCTCATGTAGAAGTGAGAGGAGGAACGGTGAGGGAGCCCCGAGCATTGGGACACCATGAGCTGGTTTCTGTGGAAGCGGACATTGTACCAGGTGGCCTCCCCCCTCCGGGACAGGTTCTCCTTTTCCCACGTGCCACACCCTCATTCCCACATCATATATTCATGACTCTCCTCCCTCCCTCTAAGCTACTACTACAGTCATGCCAGGATAATCTCACGCTGGCATCTGTGAACTCACCCAGGGCCACTCTGTGTGTATCAGCCATCACAGTCTTCCTGTCTGGGGAGGATAAAAGCTGCTTCCCTACCAGGCCATTCAGGCGAGGGGCAAGGTCCTCAGGAGCTCCTCTGAATCCTACAGGCTTCCTAACGCCCATCCAGAGAACTGCCCAGCTCCATGTCTCGGATGGAGTTTTGATTTGCTGAAGGGCCCCTGCCCTCATGTAAGTTAAAAACAGAATAGCTGATGGGCTGTTGCTTCAGCCACAAAAGCAAATATTCTTGTGGCTACCCTTCCAAATGTGATCCGTGGGGGTCATGACAGGATGGTTGAAAGTTTTGCAGAGCTCAGGGGCATTTGTATCTAGTGGTTTTGAGGAAGAAAAATAAATCAATGGAAGAGAAAAAGGGTATGGGATTATATGGTTCCATGCCCCATTTTGGACAATCTAACTATTGGTGTGGCTATTTTAATATATATTATCAAGGGCTACTGCTCTACCACCCATTATTTTATTTTAAAACCTTCCAAAAGAAGTATATAACCCAGGACACTGAAATATCATAAAGAAATATTTTGTTTTTAAAAAGATGTCGTGAATCCTCTTGTGTTTTTATGGATCCCAATTCAAATGAAAAGGACTAAAATGGCATAAATAACTTCAAAGTAAGAGCAAGATCATGGGGAAATGAAGGTCCAGTGTAACGAATAATCAAGTTGTTGTTGAAATCTTGCCTCACATCTCATAGCTGGTAGCAACACACATTGATTGATATGGGTTTTACTCTTGCTTTATACCCTTCCAGTAGAGGTTCTATCAAGCCACAGAGGGTTCCAAAAGTGAATAGCAAAGAGAATTTAGAAGTTAGTTTTTTAGTTATGAGGAACAAATCATGAGAGTGTATTTTACATTGTCTTGAAAATTAATTTTAAAAAATTACTGTTCCTAAATTTATTTTACAACACTACCTCTTCAACATACACCCCAAAGAGGCCTACCTTTGTGGTGTCTCCCCTCGTTAATATTTTCTAATCATGCTTTTGAATAAGGTGATTCACAAGTGTATGAAGATCATGAGTGACAGGCTCACACTGCTGGCTGCTTTTATTATTTGGGCACCTCAAAACTGAGATCTGGGGGTCCTCACACACTGCTACACACTCCAATTTATAACAAAGGAAAAGGAAGGAACACCAACCTGGAAACCAGAGGAAACTTTAGAATAGTAATTTTTTTATTATGATCTTCCAAAGGCAGAGATTATTGGCCTTACTCTGAAGAGTTTAAAAAAAAAAAAAAAAAAGAAGGACATTTACATTTTTTTCTTTCATTTTCCTTCTTCTGTGAGAAAGTTCATACTAAGCTGATTTGTTATCTGGAGAAAGTTGTTTATACAGCTCTTCAGAATTATGAATCTGTCTCCTTGGCCCTTTGAGATGTGCATTGCTTAAATTTTTATTGTTGGTGAATGGAGATCCTCATGTTCTAATTATATTAATGACCCATGAGAATGTTTCAGCTCTTGCTACATCTGATGCCATCTCTTCTTAAAATTTTGTAGTGTGTGGGTCCCTGGAAGTTTCCATAGTAGTCATTAATGTAAAGGACTCCAAGACCATATATATCTACCCGACAACTGAGTTGTTGGCCCTACAAAGGAATTCCCAGTGGACTGCAATGGTCTCACTGCACAGGTGTGGTAGAACACATTAGGGACAGCCGCGTAAGCGTAAGAGGGACACTCTGATCTGGGAGTTCCCAGAGAAGCACAGAGGAGAAAATGGTTATTGTTCTGTCCAGGCAAATTCTTTTACTTGACTTTACTAGATTCAGAAAGGGGTATACACTTGGAGTTGTCAAAATGTAGTCTAATTATTTAAATAATTGTGAAATTGGATATTTGAGTCTATTTGATGCATAAGAATACAAATATATTAGAGCCTCCACAGTAAATGCTACCATTTCACCTCTCATGAGCCCAGTTGTTGTTGTTTTTTAAATGCTTGAAAATGTGTTCCCTTCCTGGACAGAGTACCAGAGGATACTTAAGGAAATATTGCCTGGTCTCCTTCCTTATTCTTTACTTCTTAGCTCTCTGAGGTCATTACTAATAGATACCATTTTTCACTGTGCCAGCCCACGTGGCCCAAGTCTCTCAATAAACATGTGCCCAATGAATGAATGAATGAATGAATGAATGAGGTCTCTTCCTGCCCTGCTGTCACATGAGAATTTGGATTTGAAGTGTGCATTGCTGAGTTATTCATACAATATTTTCTGTTACAAGGCAGAATAGCCTAATATCAGTCATTCCTTTCAGTAAGAACTTAAAGCACCTTTTCCTTAGGTGTTCTAAAGAGGGGACTGTCGCATCTCTAATGCCAAAATGTGACTCATTGTATTCTTTTTAAGAACTTGCCATAAATTTCATTTGTGCTAAGTGCTGAGGTGGCCACTTTTATCATATGCATCATTTTGATTCTTACAAATAATTAATCTCGTAAATTGGCTTTGATCTCTTAAGAGGGTGACATTATCAGCCACCATGCTGAACATCTACTATGTTCAATAAGTTGCTTATTGGCCTTCTAGTACAGCATTTTGTTCATAGTAGGCACGTTTTATACTTTGTATAAAATGGTTTATTTTAGGGCCAAATTTTGCTGGGATTAAATAAGGAAGCTTTGGACAAATTTTTTTTTTTTTTTAAATTTCAGTCCTCCTTATGGGTCATTATTTATCACTTGCTCTTTTTTTTTGTAACACATCCCAGGTATATGAAATAGGTAATAATTCAGATTCAGAAATTATACAAGGACTGGGGATGTAGCTCAGTAGTAGACTATGTGCTTAGCCTGCTTTAGGTCCTGGGTGGTTTGGTCTCCATCACCCAAAGAAAAGAAACTGCACATACTTTTTTTTTTTTTTTTTTTCCTTTTTTGTGATGAGCGTTGAACTTGGGCCCCACGTGTGCTAAGCAGGTACTCTCCACTAGCTGCACCCTTACCCTGGACTTATTCTTACAATCCACAAACTGGGTACAGGGAGAATTTTATTGTTAAACTTGTGCTTGCTCTTGGACCCATGCACTGTCATCTGTATCTCTATCACCAGACATGGTGAGCAGAGGGTAGAGACACACTGCTCAGCCTCGCAGGAGGAGGGGAGACAGCACGCAGTGAACCTTTCCTGTGTGTCGGGGACACCTGGCCAGGCACTTTGACATGTGTCATCTCACCCAGTCCTCCGGTCCTGTGGAAGATCATCCTAGGTCCTCTGTACATGTGAAGACCTCATGGGGTCAAGTCCTTTGTCCAAGGTCAGTTGCATTAGTGAAGGACCCACTGGGTGTGGCGTGATGGCACTACCCCTTTGCGTTTTTTCACATGCTGAGGCTATCATTGTGAGAACTTGTCACTGCATCTCTATAACTTTTTCTCCTTTCAAGACTTACAAAAATCGTAGTTTAAATTTACCCCTCTCACCAACTTTGACTTTTTGGGGGGCTGATTCCCTCTATTACTTCATAACAGAAAATAATCATTCTTTTTCTGCCTTGGTGATGTGAATTCCCTTAGGCAATTCAAGAATCATAGGACCCTGGTTAAAACCCCAGGCCTTGTAAAAATTAAAGAGGTAAATTATATATGAAAGCACTTTGTAAACCATAAAGCATGATAAAATTAATGGCTTTTTTAAAAATTCTGTTTACCAAGTAGCATATTGTTTAGCCACACAGTGTAAACTTAAAACACACAGGCATACAAAATGTAATTAACATTTTTTAAATATATTTCATGTTAAGCTTCACAAATGAAACATCTAGTTATACTTTTATTTAAATTCACCTGTTCACCTTAAGCATGTATAAAACTGAGTGTCTCCCTGTGTGCCCAAAAAGACAATTTGCAATTTAGAAAGTTTGATTTTGAAAATGGAAAGAGGGAGGTGATATTCCGAGGTTAAAAAGGTGATTATCCAAATCATGGAAAGGGTCTGAAAGCAAAATGTGACTCCTGGAATTAATGTACAGTGACAGCGTGGCAAGCTTTGTCACCAGTGAGCAGTAGAATCAGCTCTCTTTACAGGGCCCACCCACCAGTTCAGCTAGGAAATATTTCTTGGCTCCATTTTCTTTTATCCCTAGCCTCTTGGTTTAGGGAAATGGCCACTCTGAGAATATCTGGCTGGCCACACACCAGTGCTTGCGACTTGTTTTTTTAAATGTGTCATGGTAGCCTTAGTGTGTGTCCTGCCTCAGCTTTGGGAATTCTATTATAGAGGGAATGCTAAAATAAGAAAAATTGGGGTCTGGGTAAGCCTATCTCTTAACTTGTTACCTGGGAACAGGAACTACTGGGATGTTTACCTGAAATTAATTAATTAATTAAATTCAGAAAGGGCTAAATGGTATCCTTTCTTTTTAAAAAAAATATTTTTTAGTTGTTGATGGATCTTTATTTTATTTATTTATATGTATGTGGTGCTGAGAATCAAATCCCAGTGCCTCATGCATGCTAGGCAAGCAAGCTACCACTGAGCCACAACCCCAGTCCCTAAATGGTATCCTTTCTATTGATTAAAATCACTTTTTCCCTAAAGTTATGCTTCAGGAAAGCATAAGCATGAAGGAGTGAAGTTTATACATACATCCCAAACTACTTCTTTCCTTGTCTCCACTGAGAAGTAAAACTATGTAAGAAAAAAATAACAGCAGAGCTGGAGTATGGCTCAGGGCTTCGCCTGCTCAAGCCCCTGCCTGGGTATCATCCCCAGCACCCAAAATAAATAAACAGCCTGCTGTTATGATGACAAAATAGATGATTCATTTTCTTTAGAGTGTTAGATGCCTTTTCGGAGTTGCTATCTTTTTTTGATCTTGAAATACCTTCTGTTCTTACTCCTCATACTTTAAGGAGTTTTGTCCTTCAGAAAAGAAAAATGAATTTGAACCCTTGTGTTTGTTTCAGCTGGAAACATTTGAAAGTTCAGCTAACGTTTAATGGTCTACAGTGATGATACTCTCCCGTTACAGAACAGCACTTTCTTGACAGTAAGGACTCCGTCTAGTGTGCAGGGACACCTTCGAAAAAGAGCAGAGAAACAAACTGTTCTTTGTATAAAATGCTCTTTGACCCATAAACTGAAAATAGTACAGAGCATTAATAGCAGCATGAAATTTTCCAGTAAAACTTGTTTGGGGGTTAGGGTGGGAAGAAGTACCTATGTCCATGGGAGTGACTGAATCACCTCATGAAGTACAAAACTAAAGTTATAATCTTGTAATTAAATTTTTTATAAAATAGGAAAAATGAGAAGGAACTGATCTAACAGGACACTCTAACAGAAAAATAAGGAAGGATGGTAAATTGAAGGACGGTCTAGAAAATCAGAGAAGTTTCCACAGAAAGAAACAAGAGATTCTAAGATTTTTGTTCTTACTATTCAACTTGTTGGATATTTTCTAGAGGATAAGTTAAGGAAAGGTTACCAGGAAAAGCAGCTACCCAAAAGTCATAGAAATGCTTTCTCCTTTGTAAGAAAAAATTATTATAATTTGTTAACATCTCTTTTGTGAGGAAGAGGAGGAAGGACACAGATGATTTAAAAGAGCTCTCTCTCCCCCACTTTCCCCCCTCCCTCTTCACCCCTGGCCACAAGAATAGGAAATAAATCATATTCAGACCATTTTAGAGGAATATTTAAAGTCCTTTTCACTGTTAGAGTCATAATTCTAACCAAAAAACAAAGAAAAAGAAACAAAACTAAACAAAATAATACAGTGCTTCTCAACTGGAGGGTATTTTGCTCTGCGCAGCACATCTGGCACTATCTGAAGATTTTTTTTTTAGTTATTGATTGACCTTTATTTATTTACTTATATGTGGTGCTGAGAATCAAACCCAGTGCCTCACATATGCGAGGCAAGTGCTCTACCAACTGAGCCACAACCCCAGCCCTGGATCTTTATTTTATTTGTATTTATATATGGTGCTAGGAATTGAACCCAGTGCCTCACACGTTCGAGGCAAGTGCTCTACTGCTGAGCTACAACTCCAGCCCCATGAAGACAGTTTTGATTGTCATGACTTGGGAGCTGCCACTGGCTGTGAGTGGGTCCAGGGATGCTGCTCACCACCCTCCTGTGCATCTCCCACAACACACAGTTATCCAGCCCCTTGTCAGAAACCTCCAGGTTGTAAAATGCTGGTGTGGTGGAAATAGCACGGCTCTGGAATCTGACAGAAATGGGTCTGAATCCCAGCTCCCCACCTCTCCCCGTTATTAGCTGTGTAACCTTGAGCAGTGTACAACTGGCACAGTAAAAATGTATTCAAGCCAATTTTGACCAAATATAATAAATAAATAAATTACTTCCCTAAACTGCTCAATGTCTTCATCTACAAAACGGGAGCAGTAACACCTTTCTTGTGACTGCATAAAATGAATGGATGGTTTTGAGGGATCAGAGAAGTGGGAAGCACACCCAGCACTGCGCCCCCTACAGGAGAGTGTTGGCTGTATGGACGGTGCCAGGACAGGGAACACCGGCGGGTTCTATTCTGCCTGGAAAGTTTTCCCTTGTGAACCTGGTGATCTGAGTTCTGTTCCCCGACCCAATTCAGGTTACACGGCAGATCCATGAGCATGAGCAGGAGAACGAGTTGCGGGAACAGATGTCAGGTTATAAGCGGATGCGGCGCCAGCACCAGAAGCAGCTGATCGCCCTGGAGAACAAGCTGAAGGCTGAGATGGACGAGCACCGCCTCAAGCTCCAGAAGGAGGTGGAGACGCATGCCAACAACTCGTCCATCGAGCTGGAGAAGCTGGCCAAGAAGCAAGTGGCTATCATAGAAAAAGAGGTCAGTGTGTGTCCCCGCGCCTTCGCCAAGCCCTGTCTGTCCCAGTCAGCGGGTAGCAGGAGCAGGGTACCTATGGGGCACCTACGGGTCAGGGGGAACAGGATTGCTGGGAGGTGCTACTTAAAGTTCTCATTCAGAGATAAAATACTAACTGAAGACCCATTCAAATACATCCTCGCTGGTGTGTCTCTACCCAGAGGTTGCCACTCCCTTCTGGGGACTCACAGCAGGTTTGGTCCTGTACCTGCTGTGTCCAGTTCTCTTCAAATGGTCCCATTTAGAGGGGATAGTCCCTGCCAGTGGCTGATGTACTCAGGATGGACACCCTCCCAGGGGTGGCAAGAGATTCATCTAGCCAAGATTTGGGTTTTCTAGAGAGCACCTCCCTTCCTTATGCAAATTTTAAGCTAAATTAATTATTTTAATTTATTACTTTTTGATGATGCTGGGGCTCAAACCCAGGGCCTCACACACGCTAAATATGAGCTACACCACTGAGCTACACCCTTAGCTCCTCTAAGCTAATTTTAAAACAGACAAAAGGGTAACACAAGCAGAAAGTCAAAGTATCACCTTTGTACTGATAAGTGTTCCATATGAGAAAGGTTTTATGTCTGCAGAAAATGGGCCTAGTGACATGAACAAGATTCAGATGACTGATTCTGGCAAAGCTAAAGAGGGGTCCCCTCCTCTGCTGCCCCCATGAGACTCAGCTGCTGTGGAGAAGCAGGGGCGGACATATACGCCCTGGCGATGGAGCACACAGTGCCGGGGCACTTCAGCAATTAAGCCGCCTCTCCATGTGGAAGGAGCGGCCCCAGCGGCCCTCAACCTGTGAGGCAGTCTGGCATGGAGAGCTCAGCCCAAGTAGGGGTGATGTCGATTAAATAAACCAGTCAGATTCTTTCTTGGGAATTTGACTTGGCAAATGTGTGTCAAGAATTGTTTCTAATGGAAGGATCTTTGATAATGGAAGCTAAAGGTGAAAAGATGTATGAAAAGTATCATGAAGCCTAATTTCCTGTCTCCTAAGTTCCTCATCTTCCACATACTTCATCTGGAGGGCTCTCCGAAACTTAGATTTGGTTACTTTCAGGAGTCACTATTGGTTGGGTGACCTTTCGAATGGTCTGTATTTTATCCATGTAGGACACCCCCCCCCGCCCCCGCCCCAAATGCCACATGCCTGACTGTTGTGGATCATAGCAGGTACCTAAGAAAACAAAATGTCATTAGCCTTCCTGTATACTTGAGATGATCCCACTAGGGAATCTGATCATTGGAATAATTAATTGGTTAGCATTTGATTCTCAGAATAAATCATGGTTATTTATCCATTTTTAAATTTAACCCTTGGGCTGCCAACAATGTGATAAAAATCCTTTATTATAATTCTTGGTTTTCTTTCAGTTCCATGAATGTTTTTGTGTTCAATAAAACATGATTATGGGTCCAACCTTCATACTTTTCCCATAATTTGGAATGTATTTTTCAGTGATAAATTTTTTAAGATATGAGAATCACAGAAGCCATTATTTTTTATTAATTATTTGTTCAAAATATTACATTATTCAGCACATAGGACTCTTCCTGCACTGGGGAATGTAGACATCTGAAGTCTGTGTGAAAAACAGGCATCTTTGTTGTTTTCTCAGGCAAAGGTAGCTGCAGCAGATGAGAAGAAGTTCCAGCAACAGATCTTGGCCCAGCAGAAGAAAGATTTGACAACTTTCTTAGAAAGTCAGAAGAAGCAGTATAAGATTTGTAAGGAAAAAATAAAAGAGGTAAGGGTACCAGTGTTTTAGTCACCAGGTTGCCATTAAAATGTTGGGGACTCAAAAAATCACTCATGTGCCTTGTGATGGGCATATTCTCATCCAGCTCACACTTGACATTAGAATCACCCTGATGCTTATTAAAAGAAATAGCTAACCCACTTGTAAATTTTTGGATTCAGTGGGCCTGGAGTGAAGTCTGAAAATGCATGTTGTAACAGGTCCCCACACAATGCCGAGGCCGCTGGACACGGTTCTTGCCTGCTTCCAGCTTATCCTTCACGCTTCAGCCACAGGGGTCTTTTCCCAATTCAAACCCAGGCTTATTACCCCAGGGCCTCTAGTCCCCTGGCTTCCCATTGTTATTAGGACAGATCACCATGGTCAAAGTCCCTGCGTGGCCTGCTAGAGGAGTCAGCTCCTGCCCTGCTTCCCCCACTGTGGCCCTGTACTTGGCTACTCCACCCACAGTAGTCACCTTTCAGTTCCTCAAACGTACAAAGCCCCTCCCTTCCCCCAGGAGGTTCTCCCTACCCCAAGCCCTTCCCAGCCACAGTTCGGTTCAGTCATTTCCTATTCCTCCTCCTTGTAAGATTTAAGATTGATTATAAGGACCTTCACTCAATATCACTTTCCCTGGGAAGATCTTCCTACCTGCCTCACCCCAAACAAGACAGGTACCTCTGGTTTCATAACACCAGAGTATTTACGTATTTTCTTTTAATATTTTTTTAGTAAATAGGTTGGTTCCATAGCTTAGCTATTATGAATTGAGCCACTATAAACATTGATGTGGCTGCATCACTATTGTCTGTATTTTTATGTGGTGCTGAGGATCAAACCCAGTGTCTCATACATGCTAGGTGAGCATGCTACCACTGAGCCACAGCCACAGCCCCAGCCCTTTTAAGTATTTTTTAATGATCGTTTGAGTTCCTTACCATTAGCTGGTAAGCGTCATAAAAGAGAGGAAGTCCTTTTTTGCCCACAACTGTATCCCTAAGGGCAGTACATGTGAGCATTGGACAAAGGAATGAATGATTCTGGACCTTTTGGTTGAAGACCGCCAGTGGACTCAGCACAGTGAACTCCCATTTCAGCTGAACACTCAAATTTCTTCAGTTCTCCTTTTATCAGTCCTCACAGGTGAATTGTCTGCAGTTCGATAGACTTTCCTTATCATATGACTTAGGATTTTTTATTTGTAGACTTACTTAATGTATTAAGGTTTAATTAAATACAATATGAGGAATTTCTTTTTTTATATTTATTTTTCAATTGTAGTTGGACACAATACATTTTATTTATTTATTTATTTATTTATTTATTTATTTATTTTTAGGTAGTGCTGAGGATCAAACCCAGGGCCTTGCACATGCTAGGCGAGCGCTCTATGGCTGAGCCACAACCACAACCCCCCAGGGCGTTTCTTTAGTAAATGAAATCATGCATTGCCCTCATATTCTGATTTGTAGGTTAACAATACAGGACTTACCAAGGCTCCTCTCCAATTCTTTGTCAATTAAGAAGGGAAAGCAAGAGGCTTGGGGGTGGGCCTCAGGATCTTATGCCCTGCCCAGGTAAGCCTCTGGTCACTGTTGGGCCTGACAGAAAATTGTCTCTGATCCACACTGGCTATCTGAGAAGAATCTCTGGAACCAGCAGGTCTAGAAAGCTGGGGTATAGACAAATAGTCCAATGAAGAAAGTTCACATTCTCCAAGTGATTGGCTTGTTATTATAACTGAAGGATATTTCTGGAGCACAGAGCTTGCCTTGATTTTTCTTTTTGTCATTGTTGTTGTTGTTGTTATTCTTTTTAGTCATACATGACAGAGTCTATCTTGATGTATTTATGCACATATGGAGTACATCTTACTCTAATTAGGATCCCAGTCTTGTAGCTGTACATGATGTGGAGTTACACTGGTTGTGCATTCACATGTGAACATAGGAAAGTTCTGTCCAGTTCATTCCACCATCTTTCCTAGTCCTATCCCCCCTCCCTTCCCTTCATTCCCCCTTGTCTAATCCACTGAATTTCTATTCTCTCTGCCCTCTTAATGTGTGTTAGCATCTGTGCATCAGAAGGACCATATGACCTTTGGATTGAGGGGATTGGCTTAGTTCACTTAGCATGATAGTCTCCAGATTCTTCCATTTACTGGCAACTGCCATAATTTCATTCTTCTTTATGGCTGAGTAATACTCCATTTCATATATATATACCACATTTTCTTTATCCATTCATCTGTTGAAGGACACCTAGTTTGGTTCCATAGTTTAGCTATTATGAATTGAGCCACTGTAGACATTGATGTGGCTGCATCACTGTAGTATGCTAATTTTAAGTCCTTTGAGTGGTATGGGTCAAATGGTGGTTCCATTCCTTGTTTTTTGAGGAATCTCCATAGGTTAACAGTAGTTTTTAATTAAAAACAGTTTTTAGTAATGCACTATGCATTACTATTTTTACGATAACAACAATTATTGAAATTAGCATTTAATGAATATTTTCTAGGTGCCAGACACTGTGCTAAAGGATCTACATGCACTGATTTATAAAATGAATGCATCTGCATTACACACCACAGGTACGCTCTAAGCCCCTGCATAGAGCATTCCCTGTGGTGTGTAATGCAGATGTGTTCATTCATTTTGCCCTGATTTCTCAATAAGAAACTCTTGAGGTCTTCTCAACTGGGAATAGAAATAATCTAACTCTCTGTGTTCTCTGGTGCCTCGGAGGCCATGTTTTCCAACTGCAACCACTCTTTTGAGCTTTTATCACTCTGAGATACTAGGAGATTGCATGAACCCTACCTTTAGGAGATTCTCCCACAGAACAGAGGCCCCACTCAACCTGATTGGGTGGCATTTGCTTATAATCCCAGGCACTTGGGAAGCTGAGGCAGGAGTATTGAGCGTGGTTGGGGGGTCCCACTCCATCTCCAGGCTATTCCTGGTTCACCATACTCAGATTCCACAAGGGACCACAAGCCTAAACTTCCGAAGTGCTCAGTGTGCTCCTGAAGGTGGAAACCCAGGGTAAAACCCAATTGGAGATAGCTTCAGTAGATCTTTCTGTGCAAAGCTAATATTATGCCTTATGAAGTAAAGCTTAGTTCAAAGTACTTAAAGGGACATATATATATTAAGATGTTGAGATACTTGAAGGGATTATCCTTGGAATGGCGAAGCCATCTCCGTTTTCTCAATTGTTGATGATAAGAGTTGTGGGTAACACAGGATGCTGGTTGATATCCATGATTTGGGAGTGAATTTTCATGTGATATTTGAATTGAGGTGTGCAAACCAATGGTTAATGCCAAACCTCATAGCGAAGTCAGGGTGTGGAAAGATGAGTCACCCAGCCTCCCTGCTGGCCCAGGCTGCTCCAAGCTGGAAACAACTTTCTCTTGTAGAGTTTTAAGTGAAACTTGAAAGCCTCACTGGACCAGCACAGGCGAAAGCCAGTTTTCTAGACCTTCTTGGGTAAGGGTAAAAACAATCTGAATAGTATGTGATGCCCGTGTCATGAAACATTAAGTAGAATAGGTGCTAGCAATTAGGAGAGTTTAGCTGTGTGAGTAGTTAGCCAAATATAGGTCAAGCTGCTCATATGAACAAAGAAGAGTACACTGGACTTTTAAAGTAGTCTTCTTAATTTGTCATAGAGCAACATCTTTTTTTTTTTTTTTTTAGTTGTAGATATACACACAGTATCTTTATTTATTTTTATGTGGTGCTGAGAATCAAACCCAGTGCCTCACACATGCAAGGCAAGTGCTTTGCCACTGAGCCACAACCCAGCCCCAGATTAACATCTTAACTATTCTGATTCACTGCTTTCTTTCCTTTGCTCACATCTTCTAGAAAAATCATGAATTTTTCCCTTTCAAAAATACAGATGAGGACTGGGGTTGTGGCTCACTGGTAGAGCGCTTGCCTAGTATGTGTGAGGCACTGGGTTCGATTCTCAGCACCACATATAAATAAACAAAATAAAGGTCAAGGGGCTGGGGTTATGGCTCAGCGGTAAAGCGCTCACCTTGCATGCATGAGGCCCTGAGTTTAATCTTCAGCATCACATAAAAATAAAGATATTGTGTCCACCTAAAACTAAAAAATAAATATTTTTTAAAAATATAAAGGTCGAGAGGCTGGGGCTGGGGCTCAGCAGTAGTGCACTTGCCTGGGTTCGATTCTCAGCACCACGGTAAATAAATAAAATAAAAATCTATCAACAACCAAAAATATATTAAAAAAAAAATAAAGGTCATGGACAACTAAAAAAATACAGGTGATTTCTTTACCCTCTAATCCCAAGTGAATCATGCTTTCTCCTGAGATTCAAAACTAGTGATGCATAGTCACCTCTTGTCTTTGGAATCTGCCCACCTCCCTCAGTCTTGTCACCACCTCCTTTGTCCAAGCAGTGGCAGCTCCCCTCCCCCACTCCTCTTCCTCCTCCTCCTCTTCCTCTTCTTCCTCTCTCTCTTCCTCCCTCTCCTGCACCCACCTCTCTCCCTCACCTGAGTCTGGGCAGCAGCAGCCCCCAGCTTTCCCCATGGACTAGGGGCTATTCACACTCTTGTGTCCCTCAATCTGCTCTCCACCTGACAGCCAGAACCATCCCTCTGAAGTGCATTCCACCAGGACACCCCCCCACATGGACGATCTGCTGAGGTTCGGCCCTCAGCCAGGCCCGCAAGGTCCTGCCTCAGCACACTGCGCCCAGCACCCTGGCCTCCCACCCGAGGGGCTGCTCAGGTTGTCCCCTTACCCAGGTGTTACCCCCTCTCCTTTTGCACTGGTTAGCTCCTCCCAGTTTTCAAATTTCAGCTTGGTGGTCACTGAAATCAAATAGTCAACATCACACTTTCTCAAAGGACCAAGTTCTTCCTCTTCACAGCAGTTCTCCCGGTGATTTTCAGTCCATTCCTGTGGTTCTCTGGTCAGTTTTCAGCTCTAGACTGTGGAGTCCCCTGGTGGCAGACACCGTGGTCTTTTGCTCACCCTTGCGCCCTGGGGCCTGGCACCTGAGAGGGGCTACATGAGTGTGTGGCGACTGGCCAAGGAACAAATACTGCTGAGAACAAGAAGCAAGAAATAGGACACCTTACAAGGGCCCCTCTCACTTCACACTCAACGAATGGATCCAAATAATTAAGAACTGGAGTCGGGGATGTGCCTCGCCAAGCCTTCCCGTACTGTGTCTTCTTCTGATTTCCAAACATCTGCATCTGCAGTTGCAGTAAGATGTCATATAGTCCCTTTCACAAGACCCACTTGGGTTCGTTTTTTGTTTTTGTGTTTTAAAGGAAATGAATGAGGACCACAGCACACCCAAGAAAGAAAAGCAAGAGCGGATATCCAAGCATAAGGAGAACTTGCAGCACACGCAGGCTGAAGAGGAAGCCCACCTTCTCACTCAGCAGAGACTGTACTACGACAAAAACTGTCGTTTCTTCAAGCGGAAAATAATGACCAAGAGGCACGAGGTGGAGCAGCAAAACATTCGGGAGGTATTTGTCACATTCATAACTATTGGCACTGGCTCAGGAGGCAGTAGGTCATGTGAGAGTGTTGACCTTGTCTGTTTTATCCATTCCCACATCCTTCACCTTTAGCACCGCCTGACACAGAGCAAGCGTGCAACACAAGTCAGGGAATGTGTTTACCATTGATAAGAGAAAGCTGAATTCGTAGAACAAGAAATGGATTTTTTCTAAGTAAATGAAATGGAATTTTAGTGAACATCTATTATGAGCCATGTCACACAGTGAAGAATCAAAAGAAGTAGAAAGAGAATTTTTGCTTCCTGCCTGCTTGTCAAGGACTTGTATTTCTGTGATTCCACAGGAAACACAAATGATAGCACGATGTTCTCAAGTTGATTCGTTCAGTCATCCTCCACTTCCAGAGTGCCTCCTCTATGCTAGGCACTGGGGCAGACACCAGGGCCACCAAACAGCTATGCTCCTGCCTTCAAGTGGTCCTGAATGGATCTAGGAGACACGGACATGTAACAGATTAATCATAATCTCATGAGTCAGGGGCAACAACTGACATGTAGGACAGCTTGCAGTCCTCTGTAGCCCACATGCACAGACACAAAGGGGTTCTGTGGAATTCCCATCTCAGGATAGGAATAATGAAAGGGGAAAAAAATCAGAAAGGCTTCTGATGGGGGCAATAATGGAATGTAAGTTTGACAAATCCTGGGATCACAGGGGAAAGACTTGGGAGCAGAGAGTGGAGTGATGGGAAATAGGGTGTGGACATGGCTGTCGGTGGTGTCCAAAGAAAGGTAGATTTGAAACACAATTTGAAGTACAGAATAAGTAAGACTTGAGAGAAAAGAGGGAGGTGGACTCGGAGTTACTTCTAGGGTTTAAGACTTGGAGAAATGTAGATCTGAGTAGAAACAGAGACGCTGAAAGAAAGGTTTTAGTAAGAAATGGATTTATCTAGTACATTTGAACTTGTCAGAAGTCAAAAAGTCAAAATAAATAAGTCCAGTAGCCACTCAGAAATAAAGTATTTGGGTTTCTTTAATTATCATTACTCTAGTAGCACATATAGGAGGAAGTCTCAGGCTATGGGGACAATTACCATCAATAAAAGCTATAGAAGGGCAGGGGCTTCGGCTCAGCAGTAGAATGCTCGCCTAGCATGTGCGAGGCGCTGGGTTCAATCCTCAGCACCACATAAAAATAAAGAAAATAAAGGTATAAAAAAATCACATCAATCTTTAAAAAAAAAAGCTATGGAAGATAATTAGTCCCCTAAAATAATACAAACTACATTCGTGACTTCATCCATATCGGGTTTTGACCAACTGAGCTAAGATCAGCTCTATAAGGTTATTTTTCTTGAAGTCCAGATTTTCCTTAATTTAGTCCTATTCCAGAGCCTCTTTCATGAAAATGTTCAAAGTTTTTCTATCTATAAAAGTAATAAAAGGACATTGAGAAAAAGACATACAGAAATATATAAAGCTCAGTAGTAAGTCCTTTTAGCAGCTTTACTGGGAGATCACTGCCTTACAAGACGTATATATATTTAAGGTATACCATTTGACGTTTTGATATATATACACAGTGTGAAAGGATCACTACATTCGAGCTAATTAACATACTCATTGCCTCTACATAGTTACTGTGTGTGTGTGTGCATGCACGTGCATATGTGTGTGCGCTTGCGCGCTCGCAAAGTTCAACTTAAGATCCATCCTCTCAGCAAATGGTAAGTAAGCAGTACGGGACTGCTAACCATTGTCACCATTGTTCACTAGATGTCCAGAAAATATTTGTCTTGCATAACTAGAATTTTGTACCCTTCCACCAACATCACCCCATTTTCCCCTTTTTGATAATCTCATTTTATCCAGTGTGTACCCCGAGACAATCAATCCTTCATTTGGCGTATATTATTTCAGATTTTTTTTTCGGGTGCCCATGCCATACAGCTTATATATCAGTGGGATTTTTTGATTTGCAAACAATTGAAACAAACTCTGGCTGACTTAAGCATGGAAAAGAATTTACCAGAAGGAAATGGGGTAGGTGACAACACTAAAGAAGAGAGCTGGGAAAGTTCAAGAATCACCGTGGAAAAGCAATTTCCTTGTTGTAGAGGGCAGGAGCTCTTGGGCACTCCTCAGGGCACCGTCATGTGGCCGTATCTCCATTTTTTTTATGTTCGGATCATTTCTGAACATGATTCAGATTCCTAGGAGAGAGAACTAGATTGGGTGGTGTGCCCAGTCCTTCTGCGACACTCTCTCTACAGAAAAGTAGCAGACGTCCACTCCACTGTCCCCCTGTCTTCTATTGCCGCTTACTGTCGAGCACATAGCGCTGCCTCATTCTCTTTAACCCCACAGTGTTTTGTTGTTTGGCCACAGGGTCATTTACTTTGTGAGGCACTTCCCAGGGGGCATTTTGTTTAAAATGTTACGATATTGCTAACAATGCCACAGAGAACATCTTTGAGCATATTTTTGAACATATACAAGTATTTTTGTAGATGTAGTCTCAGAGGTGGAAATTCTGGATCAAAGAATGAACACACCTGAACTTTTAAATAAATATCCCCAAATTGCCCTCTAAAGGCTGCATGCCCCCACCACAGAGCAGAAGAGTGCCTGTTTTCCTGTATCTTTGCCTCAACTAATTGAAACATGTGAAAGGATCACCACAGTCTGGGTTGAGCCTCTTCTCTCTCTGCCACACACAGATGCTCACCCTCTGCCTCCAGGTGTCAAACAAAGGGCTGAACCTGAGAAAAACTTTAAATGTCAGAGGCTAATAGCATGTTTGTCTGAATGTCTGAGTCTAGTTTTTCCTCAAGTCTCAGTAGCCATGAGGATAAAGAGATCCACTGCTTTTAAAGAAGCCACACCACTTCCATTTGGACTTTAGAATAAAGTGCTTGGACGCAGTTCCAGCCGAGGGAAAGGCAGGGAGCAGCCCAGAGCCACGTCTCACCCAGCAGGTAGACGCACAGGAAGAGGGTCTTTTGTTTAGCAGCTGTGTCATGAGAGGGACATGTCTGTCAGCCCTGAGCTTGGTGAGCTGTCACAGTGGGGTAAGGGCTGAGGAAAAGGGAGCCCCTTGTCCCTCACCCTGCACTCCCTCCAGGGCAGATAGAGTGCTTTTGGCGGGCAGAATCACCTGGAAAATGTTTGTAAACCTAAAAACCCGAGTTTTAGCTTTAATTTTACTTTATGGAAGTTGTATGACCTTATGATAGGCCCTCCATGCCTTCCCAAATGTCTTACTATGCCATCTAAACTATTTGCAAGGTTACTGCCTCATAAGGTTGAAGTTATGATTAAATGATATGTGAAATAAGCTAGGTGCACCCAGCAGCTCTGGAGGCTGAGGCAGGAGGATCACAAATTCAAAGCCAGCCTCAGCAACATCGAGGTACTGAGCAACTTAGTAAGACCCTGTCTCTAAATAAAATGCAAAATAGGGCTGGGGATGTGGCTCAGTGGTTGAGTACCCCCAAGTTCAATCCCTGGTACCCACCCCTACACACACACAAAAAAAGGGTATGTGAAATGATTTTTAAAAATTGAGAGCCCAGCGTGGTGGCATATGCTTGTAGTACCAGCTTCTTGGAGTGCTGAACAAGGAGGATCCCTAGTGTCCAGAAGTTTGAACCAATCTGAGCAACACAGTGAGACTCCAGTTTTTAAAATATTGAAGGCACATTACACATTATTATGTAGGCACAGGATTCAAAAGAAGATGAATGATTAATGTTTTTTCCATGGTTTGAAGTATTCTAGGGAGCTTACCATTTACACCCCAGCAACTCAGATATACAAATCAAAGATAATAGTATCATGTTTCTCTCATTCTTTGAATAGTTTATTAAAACTAGATTTAAGATATTAAATGCCAAATATTTATTTCTGAATACAGAAAAAAAGACATATTTATGTATTCTGAAGCATTGTCTTATGATTTTTCCTTTCACTTTTACATGCCTAATAATGCATGGTGGGGCCTGTGATCCTCGATCTATTCCTGAAGATGCTAACATGTCGATTAAGAGATTGGTCCAAGGCCTGGCACAGTGGCACATACCTGTAATCCCAGCAATTCTGGAGGCTGAGGCAAGAGGATTGCAAATTTGAGACCAGCCTCAGCAACTTAGTGAGGCCCTAAGCAACTTAGTGAGACCCAGTCTCAAAATAAGAACTAAAAAGAACTGGAGATGTGACTCAGTGATTAAGTGCCTCTGGGCTCAATCCCCAGTACCAAAAAGAGACACTTGCCCAAAGCCATAGGTAAAGAGTGGAGTCACACCCTGAGCATTTTCCCATGGATTCCCAAACTCTAAGATAAGTCAGAATTAGCTGGGTAGCTGCTTATAGATCACTTATAACCCAGGTAATTCTGATGCAGGTATTTGCAGGTATCCTGAATCCTTCCATTAAAGATGGAGAAAAGCCCATCCTCTAAAAGTGTTCATTTGCTTTGTTATCCCCGCCCATGTCCCCATAAATTTCAGGGCATGGGGCAGCTCAAACTCAGTTTGGACTTAACAATTTAGGAAATTGTGGGTCTGTAAATGCTCAATATTGGGACGCCTGGAACAGAGGCCAGGGAACAGGACCTTTACACACTCAGGTTTTCTTTGATGTTCTCTTGGCCCTGAGTCCTGGAGAGCTCCAGTCTTTAGGAGAGCTCACTCGCTTTGGTGCCCCCTAGGGGCCAGTTACTGATCTAAAATGAGAAATCTGGTGGGGGGTCCAGAGGAAGAGGAAAAATAAGACAGGGAAAAGAAAACCAGGAGGTTGGGAGTGATGATCTGGGAGACTTCAACTTCTTTGAAACAAATTTAAATGGTGCGCATACTTTGGGTATTTATGCGCTAGAAAATAAGCCCCACGAGGGGGCTGCTTGTTCCCAGCTCTGTCACCAGTGCCCACAGTGGTGCCCAACACCCAGTAGGTGCTCAACAAATGCTTGTTGAAGAAACAAATGAATGATTTGTGACTGTGCTCGGGTTCTAGAGGCCGTACTGTTTAAAGGACTTCCCTTCCAATGAATAGAAGGCCCAGTGTGCAGGATATTCTCTCTATACCAATGCATACATCTTCTGATGCTTTATGAACATAAAGGAGTTGCATTTTCCCCTATAGGGTATGCCAACAAAGAGGAGAGTCAACGCTTTCTTTTCCTGATCTTCTTAGGTAGTAACTGTACTCCCCTCTTCAGAAATCTTATAGAAAATCTTGACCTCTTTCCTAGCCCTCATCACTTTCCAACCTTTCTCTTTACACATAAAAGTGTTTTCCCTGTATTAAGATTATTTTTCGCATGTTAACTGAAATTTTATTTGGACTAGCTTAAGCCAAAGCCAGGAAATTTATTATCAAAGTGTAGGAATATCTCGTCAAACTCAGCAGCGGTGACACAGGTGGACTCAAGGCAGTTCCGGGACCGTCAGGAACTTGAGCATGACTGCATTCCTTGCATGTCTGTCTTCTTTTTTTTTTTTTTTTTTTTTTTTTTTTTTTTTTTTTTTTAAAGAGAGAGAGAGAGAGAGAGAGAGAGAGAGAGAGAATTTTAATATTTATTTTTTAGTTTTCGGCGATCACAACATCTTTGTTTGTATGTGGTGCTGAGGATCGAACCCGGGCAGCACGCACGCCAGGCGAACGCGCTACCGCTTGAGCCACATCCCCAGCCCAACATGTCTGTCTTCTTTTTAATTCTTCCTCTGAACCCAGATTTCTCTAATCCTCAATCCTCATAGCAGCAGACAACTACCACATCTGTCTTCTTTATATGACCCTCAATTCTGGCCTCCCACAGAGATTAACAGGCTCTGAACCTCAACTCCAAATTCCTAGAAGAGAAAAGAAACGGGCACAAGTTGGGCCCCACTGTGATTCCGTCAGCTGTGAGCCACGCGTGTCCCTCAATGAATGCCTATAACACTTCCCTCTCAGAGTGTCAGCCAGATGAGGATGGAAGTCATGGCTTGGTAAACATCTGTATGTACCCAGAGCACATGGTTCAGGTGTTTGTATATAGTGCATTTAGGAAATAGTCTTGAATTGGTAAATGAAAAAAAAAAATTTGCCCAACTTCCTTTTTTCTAGTTTGCTTTCCTTCCTCCTTTCAACAACAGGGAGGAAAGGCAGGGAGGGAGGAAAGAAAGATGAAGAGACAGACAGGCATGAGCAGAGCTGAGAGAACAGAGTGATTAGATCCAACAACGATCAGACAGACTGTAATGGAAAAGATGAAAGGGAAGAGCTCTTCTCTGCTTTGTCCCAGCATGCCCTAAACTCAGATTTTAAAAAATATATAATTGGCCTACTTCTGACATGTACAAAAACTGGGTATTTCCCAGAAAACTAGAAACATTGAAGATATCCATTTAATCAAGTTTCTCAACACTGACTGCATACTAGAGTAACCTGGAGAAGTCTTTAAAATTGAGGTCAGGTACCTTGTAGTGGTGCAAGCCTGTAATCCCAGCTCCTCAAGAGGCTGAGGCAGGAGGATCACAAGTTTGAGGCCAGCCTTAGCAATTTAGTGAGGCACTTCTCAAAAGACTGGGGATGTAGCTCAGTGGTAAAGCACGCCTGGGTTCAGTCCCCAGAGCCCCCCCCCCCCCGAAAAAAAATTGAGGCCAGGATCCCACCCCGGAGAATGTTCAGAATTTCAGGTTTTAAGCATCATATATTTGAACAGCTTCATCACATGATTTTAATGGGCAGCCAGGGTGGAGAACCAGAAGCTTAACTGAAGGAACATTTATTTAGATCTAAACAAACATGTCGCCTAATTAAGGGTCCCAGCAAGGTAAGAGGGCGTCAGGTAGAACCGATCCCATTTTACAGCTAGTACAGTGGTGGCTGCTAGCAAGTTGCCTGCCTGGTAAGCAGTGAACCCAGCAGCAGAGCCTAAGACTCCAGGGATTGTTCATCCGCTGCAGACACTGACAGGTTCCCCGAGGGCCGGGTGGTGCCATCTTTGCCATCCCTCCCTTAGTTCGCAGTCCTTCCAGTCCCTCTCCGCTCATCTCTCTCCGTTTACTGTTTGCTCCTGAACGCAGGAACTGAATAAAAAGCGGACGCAGAAGGAGATGGAGCATGCCATGCTGATCCGGCACGACGAGTCCACCCGAGAGCTCGAGTACAGGCAGCTGCACACGCTGCAGAAGCTGCGCATGGATCTGATCCGGCTACAGCACCAGACTGAGCTGGAGAACCAGCTGGAGTACAATAAGAGGCGGGAGCGGGAGCTGCACAGAAAGCACGTCATGGAACTCCGGCAGCAGCCAAAAAACTTAAAGGTAAGAGGAGAGAGCAGTCCCCATTAGCGTAAGCCCCGGGACAGAGTTGGGGAGGACCAGTGTTCCAAGGACACCTGGATGACTGGCAGTCGCCCGTTTCTGGGCCCCACACCCAAGTCACAATCTCCAGATGCAAAGCCCCGGCATCTGTATCTTGCAAACTGCTTTGGTAACCGCCGTACTCCGTGATCTCTTGATTTTTCCCTTTACTCTGCTCTGTCATTTCCCTGAACTCTGCATGACCTTCCTCTCTAAACTTGGATGAATAGCAGCCCATGATTCTAATTCCAGGAGACAAAGTTATATTGATAGTAACTACCTTGAGAGCTGCTGTACACCTGAGAAGGACCCTGAAGCCACATTCCCACTGAGTAGGAGAGTGTGATTTGTCAGAGGTGGGTGGCATGAGTATGGGGATCAGAACAGAATCCACTCGTGCCACACCAGGGATAGGAGGAACTCCTTTAGCCCAGCCTCTTGCTAATTTTAGCAGCCTGCTAATTAACAAGCTCTGTGTACTAAGCCATTGGTACATGTCACAGAGGACACTGTCAACATTGGCACAGACATGAGGCCAACCTCAGTCACACTGGCCATTGCCTCTTCTAGCCAAATCCTAAACTATCTAATTAGTGATCCCTGTCACCATAAGTCTTCAGAGTGTTCATAAAAAGCACACGTGACTATGGGGGCAGCTGATGGAATGCCTTCTGGCCTTAATAGTACATCCCCCGGTCTCCTGGCCAGAGTACAAATTTGACACTGCCACATGTAAGCACAACCTCTTAATGGGGGGCAGGGGGCCCACAATCACTGTTCTTTCAGTTCATATTGAAGTACAGTGGAAACAGGCTGGGATGCGAAGATGTCCTCCTTCATTGACTAGTGGAGGGAGCGGGTTATATCACATCACCCCCTTCACACTCGGAAATGGGGACATGGCTTACGTGACACACACTCAAAAAGGGAGGAAGAAACAACACACGATAGAAAACACTAAATACTTGGATGGGAAACCATAAAAATAATGGCTAACCTTTTAACAAGCAGAGCTTCATAATATTCTGCAATCTGCTTAGAATTGCTACCCCCTTATTATAATTCATTTTTTCTTTGAGGTCAGTTGCAAATCCAAAATTATTTCTATCCATTTACTATAAACACAGAAGCACTAGTAGAGTTTGCTTTTTTTTTTCCTTAGAGTTTGCCCTGGTCTGCGTTATTTTCGTGATTGTGGACCAGCAATGCTGGTCACAGCACCAAAAGACAGATAGCCCTGGCCCTTGTATTGTATCATCATAACAGAAACTTTCTGTTTTCACTGACACATCTTTATTTTCCCTTTGTCACTTTTTCTAACAGGCCATGGAAATGCAAATTAAAAAACAGTTTCAGGACACTTGCAAAGTACAGACCAAACAGTATAAAGCACTCAAGAATCACCAGTTGGAAGTTACTCCAAAGAATGAGCACAAAACAATCTTAAAGACACTGAAAGATGAGCAGACGAGAAAACTTGCCATTTTGGCAGAGCAGTATGAACAGAGTATAAATGAAATGATGGCCTCTCAAGCGGTAAGTGGTTAGGTTGGGTGCCACGACTTCAAGAGCTTTGGGATTCAAGAAAAGTCAAGATCCAGCCTTTGGTTCCCAGGATGCACAAATTTAGGATCTGGGTGTTTTTCTGCCCAAAGAAATGAGGAAATGACAACGCTGAATAAAGCCAAGCCCCTGTGGATACTTGCTGGAGTGTATCTTATAAGCTGGAGCTCAAGGAATAACGTGCTGAATCCGACCTGTGGCACATAGGGTCTTTGAGGGCAAGATGGTATAGATACCGCATATGATGTCCTGTGTCCATTCGTCAGAGATTACTGACCAGCACCCCCAACGATACCAGGCACCAGTGAATAGAGTCTTAACAGAGTCTTAACAGAGCTCACAGTCAAGAGGAAGACAGATACACAGACACGTTCATTCAATAAACTTTTGCTAAACCTCAGTGTCCAGCCCTCTGCTGGGCTCAGAGATAGAGTGATGAGCCAGATAGACAATGGGTCTCTGTCCTCAACCTTCTGTCATGGAGCCAGGAAGTCAGATAATTAAGCAATAATAATAAAGCATAGTGAGTGCTTTGAAGTGGGAGGGGCTGGGGGGCAGGGAGGACAAGTAGGAACAAGGAATCTGGTCTAGGGAAAGTCTCCCTATGGGAGCCAGGGCTTGGTGGAAGTCACTGAAGCCAGCAGGTTCCACAAAGAAACCCAGATAGGCACAGATCCAAACAATGGAAAGTACCTCTGGGGCACTCCCTGAACTTGAAGGTGGGCCCCGAGTTCAAGAAGGGGGATTATGGGAACCCAAAAAGGGAGGTGGTAAAGGTCCTTAAGCTAGGGATGGAGCAAACCTGGAAATTCAGTGAAGGTCTCACAAGGAGAAGTGTCTTAGAGAGTACTAGCTAACCAAGCAGGCAGAAGAGGAAAAGTGAATCCTGGCCGAGGACACAGTCTGTGCAAGACTCCGGCCCAACAGAGGGTGGCACAGCTGAGAAGCAGTGAGCACCTGCCATGGTGTAGAATGCTTGTTTAAGGAAAGCAGGTGGAGATTCTCAGTCAGATCTGCAAGAGCAGGAGTCTGCTCGCGATTCCAGAAGCAGTGGAGAGCTGTTGAAGCCTGTTTAGGAAGGAAAGTAACAGGATCAGATCTGTGTGCCAGAAAGCTAGTGGCAGTCGTGCAGCAAATATAGGGAAAGAGACCTGTTGGCAAGTTATTTCAGTAGTCCAGGGGGAAATGTCCAAGCATGGTGCCCGGGACTCAGCTCAGTGGTAGAGTGCAGGCTTCTTGTGTGAGGCCCGGATGCAGTCCCCAAACCAAAAATGAGTTCAGAAAACCAGAAGGAGGGTAATAAGGGAAATGGTAAGGAGGAGAAAGATTTGAAAAATATTTAGAAAGCATATAGAGAGAACTTAGTGACCAATTTGAGAGGTAGGTTTGACAACAGACTGGAAAAAGTCATCACTTTACCAAGATAGAAAAATAGAAGGGGGTGAGTTTGGATGCCTTGAGGGGGAGGGGTCATTGGCTAAGTTGTGGACATGGTATCTGAGCCAGGCAGGTATCCATAGAAAGATACAAATATGGAAATCTGTAGTTCAGGAGAGAGATCAGGATTAACTCATTATGTCCCATCATCCTATAAAATTTTATAAGACATCTATAAAATTGCTCAATTTAAGATTTTTTTATTTTAATTGTTAGTGGACCTTTGTTTTATTCATTTATTTATATGCCATCATGAAAATTGAATGCAGTGCCTCCATGTGTGAGGCAAGTGCTCTCCCACTGAGCAACAACCCCAGCCCTCAATTGAAGTTTTTATAAGTGCCCCATAGATAGGATGATAAGACATAATGGGTTAAAGACAAAAAAACAGACATCTTTGCCAAATGGGTTAGAGGTAGCTGTTAGAAATGGATAAGATCTGCTGGGGACAGCAGATGGAATTAGAGAGAAAGGGGACCAAGGACAGAGTCTGGTGGACACCCGCATGTGAGGGCTACATAGAAGCAGGCCAAAGGAAACAAACACTCGGTGACCTAAGGGGGGACCAGGAGAGAGGCCAGGCGTAGGTTCTAACTGAAGATTTCAGCTGTCACAGAGACCAATTAGAATCCCAACCTTTGGGGCTGGGGAGACGGCTCAGTTGGTAGAGGGCCTGCTTGCTGCACAGGGCCCTGGGTTCAGTCCCCAGCACCACAAAAATAATAATAATAAGCCGTGGGCTTACCCACTGCTGGTTACAGACAATCCCCAGAGCAGTGGGAGTGGGAGACGTGATCCTGCATTGAAAGGGGGGCTGCAGATGAGGCAGACAGTGTGAGGCGGCCTCTCAGAGGTTGGTCAGTGGTCGCAAAGGGAAAGAGCTGCAGGGTGAGGAGTGGCCGGGAGTCCACTGCAAAGGGAAAGAGCTGAAGGAAGACCTCAGGACCGGGCCATCCCGTGGGTTCTCCCTGGGCTGTGCCCCAGGCCTCCCAGGATGCTAGGGTGAGTGAGATAGCCATCAGGACCTCATGGAATCTACCCAAGAGTGGAGGACACCAGGCTGAAGAGCCCACTCCATAGCGGCAGAGTGAGTGCAAGAATCCAGTGGAGTATGAACAGGAGGCTGGGTGGCCCAGAGTTGGGAAGGGCCTCTTTGACAAGAGTATTTAGATGTGCAAAGATGAGAAAACGTGGCACTTTTGAAGAACTCACAGACGTCCACTGTGTTTGGAAAGTAGTGAGCCAGGAGGAGACCAGCCTGGGAATCAGCCTGCAGGGCCATGGGCTGGGACGTAGGGGCCTGCACCCATGCAGACTGTTGGTCTTTACCCTAAACGCAGCTGGAAGCTGATGAAGAGTATTGAGCAGGGGCCTGGCATCAGATTTGTATTTTTAAATGTTTACTCGGTGACCTGTAGAGAATGGCAAGAGTGGGTATGAGGAGATTGTCTAGATGCCACTGCTTTTCCCTGGGCACCAGGGAGTGGTGGCTTCACCAGAGAGGAGCAGTGGGGGTGAAGCTTGAAAGAGCTGGGCAGGAGGGAAAGTCGAGGCACCTAGTTAGTGACAGGCAGAGATGATGGCCAGCTACCTACAGGTTGAAAAGGAAGTGGGCAGGGCTGGGGAGGCAGGAAGGGAAGATAATGAGTTGACTTGGGCTGTGTGGAGCCTGAGGGCATCTCTGGTAGGCTGGATACTTTGGTCTGGGCCTCAGAAGGGCAGGGTGAACCGAGGGGTCCAGGTGGGAGTCATTTGCATGGCCCGTGGCAGAGTCAGCCGGCAGGAGGCCCTGTGCTGGGGAACAACCCAGGGAAGGGAGCAGGACAGGAATGGAAAACCATCACGGGTGTTTGCAGTGTCTCAGGAGGCGGGAAAGGATTTCCAGAAGGAAAGGTAAAGTCCACAGTAGCCAGTGCTGCTGGGAGTCAGGCCAGGTGAGGACGGGATCATGATGGCCAGCAGTTGGTGATGGCCAGCGGAGGCCTCCTTGTGAGCCATATAAACAGAAGGGTCACCTCAACCTGAGTGTGAAGTGAGGAGTGTAGAGAGAGGGAGGAGGGGCGAGCTTGGGGGTTTTGTCTTGTTGATAACTGCAGTAGCCTCTGTGACTTGGGCACACCCCAGACATCCCGTGCCTGCAGGTCACACAGATGGGAGAGGAGGGGAGGAGGGATAGAGGTTCATGACTGCACTTGACTACAAGGAGAGAAATGCCCTCTCCTGAGACAGAAGATCAAAGCAGGTTTGACCATAGCAGCTGTCTTTTAGTGACCACATCCCACTGTCCCTGCTGTCTTGAGTATTGCTTGGGTGGGTAATATTTCATTTTTGTGACACCCCTTTCAAGTAGTTACTATTTAACCCTAAATTTACCTGTGAGGTTTTCTTTTTTTTTTTTTAATATTTATTTTTTGGTTGTAATTGGACACAATATCTTTATTTTATTTATTTATTTTCATGTGGCGCTGAGGATCCATCCCAGGGCTTCACACATGCTAGACGAGCACTCTACCCCTGAGCCCCAGCCCAGCCCACCTATGAGGTTTTCTAAAGGAAAGCCACTCAGCTTAGCTCCTGCTTAGGACTAAGAGTTGGCAAACATTTTCTGAAAAGAGGCAGATAGGAAATATCTCAGGCTTTATGGGCCACAGTGTCTATCACGACTGGCTGACTCTACACTACAGTGCAGAAGTACCCCAGACCTGGGTAAATGAACGAGTGTGTCTATCTAGTGAAGCTTGTTCGCAAGGCCTCGGTGGCCCTCAGGTAGCACACCAGCCCTGGGGTGGGAGCAGCGCGCAGCCGATGAGCGCTGGAGGCAGGATTTGAACCCTGGAGGGGTCCCTGTAAGCCTGAGGGGTTGGCGCCCACTATACTGCTGCCTGTGTCTTCCTTTTCTTGCACTGAAGCCACCTTAGAAAACAGACATGATATCTACCTATAATCTTATAAAACTTTTTAGTGGATTTGGTGTGTTTAGCTTCAGGTGATGAATACCAAAACCTGGAGTGTCCCCCTGGTTTCTGGCACAGGGACCTTCATAGTCAGAGCTGGGACAAAGCATAGTTATGGATGACAGTAATCAAGAACCAGAAACCAAAGAAAATGCCCTGAGGATGAGCCTCTCGCCCACTTGCTCAGGGATTCTAGCAACACAAACCGGAGAGTAGGAAAGAGCAGGGCTTCCATTTCCTTTACCGGTAAGAGGTCTGCATATCAAGAGGGAATCAGTAACCACCCTCACTGGGAGCCACAGAACTCCTCAGCGTTCATTTGGAAGGCTGTTCCTGCTGCAGGTCAACTGTGCATTGGGTCCCGTATGTCTTCCCTTCATTTCTCATTGGGAAAATAAGAAGAGAGTGAGCCATCCTCTTTAGTGGGTTTTAATGAAAACTGGTTAGGATTAATTATTAGAAGGTACCTTGGAAATATAATTGCATAATTTATTTTAGGTTCCTTTAATCTCTATAGTGTATTTCTCCAAAAGTACTAAAGAAGATAGTAGGCAAGTAACATTTCAAAAAGTCATTTCTCCAACCAGGAGATTGTAAGACATTGTTAATTATTACAAATTGTAGATAAGGTAGAGAGTAATATCTTGGCAAAATGAAAACAAAAGAAAATGTATGGAAACATGCAGATAAGCTCAGGGTAGACTGGATTATCTCATTAAAGGTTTCTGATCTCAAAGTTCCCAGCCATACTAAGGGCCAGTATGTTTGGACAAAGCCAAGACTTGGGCAGAGCAAAGAAATCCCTGAATTTAGTCCTGCTAATGGCCCAGAGCCTCCCCCTCTTCAGGTTGAGGGGTAGGCCTTTCTGAGAGCGGGCCCGCCTGTTCCCCACACAAGATGTGGGCACGTTGGCGTGTAACACCAAGTTTCCATACCGTGGGAATCAAGGGAACTTATAAGGCCACCTTATAATGTAGACTTTTTTACTTCAAATCAGACTATGCCCCTTAAGATTGGCAAGGATGCTTTTTGGGAACAAACTCTGAACCACTTGAGTTATTGGCCAGCTATCCAGATGACTTGTGTAGTCCTCAACAGGCGCCAATGTTGCCTAAATGAACTGTGGCATGTGTCCCAAGTGTTATAGATGATTGATTTAGAACTGAGCATATCTAAATGACTTTATGGTTTGGGGGTTAAAGATATCCAGATATGTAAACAGTCTTGTCAAAACCAAAATAACAGCAGACACTACTTACTGACTACTTAGCCTGGGATTATTCTCTACCTGGGATGGTGTGTATTTATTTGCTTATGTATTCATTTGTTGATTTTTTGCGGTACTGGGGATTGGACCCATGGATGCTCTACCACTGAGCTATGTCCTCAGACTTTAAATTTTTTATATTTTGAGACAGGGCCTCACTAAATTGCCCAAGCTGGCCTTGAATTTGCCATCCTGCTGCCTCAATCTCCCGACTTGCTGGGATTGCAGTATACCTGGGATTGTTTACGAATCCTTTCATGTAATCCTCACATCGATCTCAGACAATAGGAACTGTTCTTGTTTTCTTGCGATGAAGCGGAGAAGCGAGGGACTGGGGATGCATTCAGTGGTGGAGCACTTGCCTCGCATACATGAGGCTCTGGGTTCCATTCCTAGTACTGGAGAGGTTAAGTAATTGGTCAGGTGACACTTCTAAGTGAAAGGTGGTGTAGATATCAATTGGTGTAGACATGCCACCTGCACATCCACAGGCCTTGTCACTAGCGTGAAGAGCTTCCTGACACCTGCTACAGTGGCTTCAGACCATATTTAAAAGACTGTGTTTTTAGGACTTTGTCGCCCATTGGGCAGATTTCACTGGCTCTGATCCTACCTCCGAATATACCCAGGGCATCTGTTTTTCTGAGGGGACCCTTTTCAGTAAAAAAGAGGAGACATCTCCCAGTAGTCCCCAAGTGCAGCCAGCGAGGGCTGTATGACAGTGTGTGTCTTCTGTGCCCGCAGTTACGGCTAGATGAGGCTCAAGAAGCAGAATGCCAGGCCTTGAGGCTACAGCTCCAGCAGGAAATGGAGCTGCTCAACGCCTACCAGAGCAAAATCAAGATGCAGACAGAGGCACAACATGAACGTGAGCTGCAGAAGCTAGAGCAGAGGGTGTCTCTGCGCAGAGCACATCTTGAGCAGAAGGTATGAGTTACTGGGGGCCGTGCAGCTGGGGCGGGGGTTGCAGGCCAGGAAGCTGCCGTTTATGGAGTCCCCTGGTCACAAGGGTCACACCAGGCAATGTTCACTTAGATCTGCATTATACTGCTGGTCTTCCTGGGGGGCAGACATGGACCACGTTCCGCTGGCCAGGACGCTAAGGCTCAGAACAGCTCGCTGCCTTGAGAAGTCTGAGCACACTGCTTAAGCCCTTCTGCTACTCTGTTAGGAAGCCCCAGGCCTTCCCAACAGGCTGCTGCCTGGTAATCATGACACACAGGGTACTGCTAAATGGCATGAGGAAGTCCGAGATTTGGCTTCTTGGGTGTTTTTAAACCAAGAGAAATCACCAGCAGGGCTCTTAAAACAAGAATTAAGACAAATACAGGCTGATACCGCCACGCATAATGGACGTCATTCCAGTTGAAATATTCAGTGCTTTAGATATTCTGGGGAGCATGGAGGAGAAAGATGTCACAAGGCACCTCAAAGATGGAAGCATCTAGTTGCTTAACCAGTTACTTGCCCTTTCTTCCAGTGGCTCCCTGAGACAGAGCAGTTTTTTTAGCTCCAGTTCTTAGAACTAAATATCTAAGGACCCAAAAGGCAACCAACCAACGGTGGGAAAGCAGCGCCATCTGTGCTCTAGTGTCTTGGCTTCTGCTGAGACAGGACTGGACATTGACCCAGATCCGCCCAGCTGCTGGGCTGGTAGGGTGGCGCTGCTCACGCCAGGCCGCCCCAACATGTGTATTCTTGCAGCAAGTTTTAAGCAGAATGGATTAGGCCAGACACCTGCCTCAGGGCTGCCCCAGCCTAGGCCCAGGTGCACATGCCTCCTGGGCGTGCATGCGTGTGTTGCTTATCCTGTGGGCATCTGTTGGGAGGCCGTTTCCATCTAAGGCCCCTTACTGTGTTTCAGATTGAAGAGGAGCTGGCCGCCCTGCAGAAGGAGCGCAGCGAGAGAATCAAGTACCTACTGGAAAGGCAAGAGCGAGAGATTGAAACTTTTGACATGGAGAGCCTCAGAATGGGATTTGGGAATTTGGTTACATTAGATTTTCCTAAGGAGGACTATAGATGAGATTAAATTTTTTGCCATTTACAAAAAAAAAAAAAAGAAAAGAAAACAGAAAAAAATTCAAACCCTGCAAAACCACATTCCCCATTTTAACGGGCGTTGCTCACTCTCTCTCTCTTACTCTTACTGACATCGTGTCGGACTAGTGCCTGTTTATTCTTACTCCATCAGGGGCCCCTTCCTCCCCCCGTGTCAACTTTCAGTGCTGGCCAGAGTCTGGCCATCTCTTCTATTCATAGTACACGTCACAGTATTGATGTGATTCAAAATGTTTCAGTGAAAACTATGGAGACAGTTTTAACAAAACCAATAAACCACCAACAACAAAAAAGTGGATATATATTGCTTTAAGCAATCACTCATTACCACCAATCTGTGAAAGTAAAGCAAAAAATAATAATAATAATAATAATAATAAATGCCAAGGGGGAGAGAGACACAATATCCGCAGCCTTACACCTTAACTAGCTGCTGCATTATTTTATTTTATTTTATTTTTTTGGTATTTATTCATCAGGAATAAAAAAAACAAAGTTTTATTAAAGATTGAAAATTTGATACATTTTACAGAAACTAATTGTGATGTACATATCAGTGGTGACATATTACTTTTTTGGGGCTGGGGGGGTGGGCGGGGTGAAGAGATCTTGTGATTTTTAAGAACCTGCTGGCAAGAGTTGAACTTGTCTTCAGCATATTCTGATTGTATCATAACCATTTTCTGCTGTTGCAGAGGATGTGAATACACTTAAGGAGCTCACAGAATCCCAGTAGCACAAATTGGGCTTTGGCAAATCGTGTATTTTGTGTATAGAAGGAATTTAAGGAGAGGTATTACTTATTTTCATATTGTATTTTAACTGTTTCTCTGATCAAATTTTTTTACTTCCTCCTCCTGTTCCTCCCCACCTTCCCCCTTTTCCAATTCAGTATTTGGAGTTCCACTCTGTCTCTCAGTCAGATCATCTTGACCTTTTTCTTTATTTCCCTTCCCCTTCCTGAGTCCCATATCTTGGTCATAAATACTGCATTATTCACACTTTCAAACTGTGTATTTTCTTACAATAAAAAATGATGAAAAAAAAAAGGCTTTACTTCTTTTGCATGCACTTTAAAAACAAAACATTTTTCAGGTTCCAAGGAAGAGCATGATAACTGTCAGAGCTTTTAATTATATTTGTAAATAAAAGTGTTCATCACATGGCCTTGCTGTGTTATTGTGACAGGTTTCCCTTCCAGGTTCACCAGGTGAGCATTCCCAGGGAGAGCCACCCTCCCAAACCACTCTCTGTGGCCTCAGATGCTCCACGAAGGCTCCGTTCAAGATCCTCAGGTAAAGCCGTGTCTTCCAGGTTCCTCTCCAGGGCTAAAGATGGTGTCGCACTGCTCCTGCTCAAGGGGCCCATGGCACCTCACACCCTTAGCAATAGGAGGCGGAGGCGCATACGCACATGCGCATACACACACGCGCATACACACACATACATACATACATACACACACTACGCCCAGTGTGCCTGTGGCGTAGAAGCAGGTATTGCTGAGAAGGTAATAAGGTACCCTTAAAAAAAAGCAAGGTGGGAAAAAGCATAATCAAATATTTAAATGATCCCACTGTAATGTAGATCACACTCCTTCATATTCTGCTTTTATTAGAATAATTGTATAACAGTGAGATAGTAAGCATAACTCCTAGCATATGATTTCAGGGCCAGGACAACCTCTAAAGAGCTCAGATTCTTCCATCTGTAAGTCCTAGACCTTGAAAATTGCCCTTTGGAATGATGACCTCAAGGTCATTCTCGAATCCCATAGGAGGTTCAGTTACCACAGACAAGTGTGACCCGACATTGTCACTACGATAGACTAAAAGCAGGAAGGCATATTCATGAAATTACCAAATAGTTGTCAGCATGGGTTAACCCCAACCATAAGGTTTCACTAATTATCACCCAGGTTCTGAAGCAGCTTAGTTCCTGCTAAGAAAAAAATTCAAACCCAGGAAAATAGAAACACAGGAAAATAATGTTTCAGAGGGCTCACAAGGAGACACAGAATTGCTCTAATTTGGATCTGAAATGTCCCCAAAGGCCCATGTGATGAAGGCTCTGTCCTCAGCCTATGGCACTGTTGGAAAGTCGTATCACTTTTAGGGGGTGGTGACTAGTGAAAGGAAGCTAGCTCGTTGTGGGGTGGGCCCTTGAAGGAGACTTGGGACCCCAGCCCCTTCCCATCTTTCTGTCCCTGGTCATGCTGTGAACAGGCCTCCTCTGCCACAGTTTCCTCGTGTGGTGTACTGTGCCACCACAGGTCCAAAGCAACAGGGTCAGTTGACCATAGAATGAAACCATAAGCCAAAATAAATCTTTCCTCCTTTAAAGTTGATTATCACATGTGTTTTGTCACAGTGACAGAAAGCTAACGAACCACAATAATCATCCACCCAAAACAGGTGTGTACTGCACGCTGTGCTTACCATGGAATACCACCCAGCACTTCACACACCAGGAAGGAAGCTCTGATCAGGGCAGTGGCCGGGCGGGTCTGAATCGAGACCTGTCTGAACTCAAAACCCAAAAAGGGCATCCTGGACAGAAAAGCCCTGTCATCTACTTCATCCTTTCCTCTGTGGTAAAAAAGGTCTAGGCCACCTTTTGAAAAGGCCATGAGACTGTGAGATTGCAGGTGCTGCTATTATAAAAGCCTCCTGTGACCCAGGGCCTAGTTATCAGAAAGAAGGAGTGCTGGTCCCTGCTCCTAACACCAGGTACGCACCAGGTCTCCTTTTAGTGCCCGCGTGAGGAGGTGGCAGAGCCACGGATATGAAAGACAGCCGCTTCCTGCATTCTTCCAGCATGTGCTAAGCTCCCTGAATTAACAAGAATTATTTGTTATAGGTTTGTCACACCTATTGGTAAGGGACAGCCTTGGATTTCTCCCTCTGTGAATAGTCACCTTGCATGTTTCGCCAGGCTGCGTGCATGGCCCACGTCAAACAGGCAAAGATCTGTGCTCTCCCGCAGTTTCCACTAGGGCTGGGAGGAAACCAGTAATAATAATTATTATAACAAGGATTTTATATGGTAACAGGTGCTGTGGAGATGAGCAAAGGAAAAGAGGGTAAGAGATCACAAGGGCAGGAGTAACACATTCACTCCTTCTTGAAGGGAATATTTCTTGAGCACCTATTGCGTCCCTGGGGTGTAGCAGTAAGTAGGATGATTGAAGGTGCTACTATGCTTGGGCTCAAGGCTTCAATCTTCAGTGGACAGAAGGCAGATGGCAACAGACTTGGTGAGCAGTGACTTAGTCCATGACAGTGCAGGTACTGGGTGCTACAGACGTTTAAAGGAACTGCAGCAATCCCAGTCATGGGGCCATCAGAGGATCCCTCATTCACTGGGTAAACTAACTTACTTCTTTTTTTTTTTCTTTTTTTTTTTTAAAAGAGAAAGTGAGAGAGCGAGAGAATTTTTTTAATATTTATTTTTTAGTTCTCGGCGGACACAACATCTTTGTATGTGGTGCTGAGGATCAAACCCAGGCCGCACACATGCCAGGCAAGCGCGCTACCGCTTGAGCCACATCCCCAGCCCCTAACTTATTTCTTGAATTTATGACAATCAGTTACCCGCTTATTTATATATTGGAAAAGATTATTCCTGGGCCACTGGAAATGTGCATAGGTAAGAATGGCATGGACCCCTCTGATTTGTGTGTGTGTGTAGTTGTAGGTGGACAGAATGCCTTTATTTTGTTTATTTTTATGTGGTGCCTAGGATCAAACCTAGGGCCTCACACATGCTAGGAAAATGCTCTGCCACTGAGCCCCAGCCCCAGCACCCCCCACTCTGATTTTAATCTAGCCCTTATTTTGCCACAGAAATACTGCCCCCTCCCAATACTGTGAACCCAGGGCCTCCAGCACGCTAAGCAAGTGCTCTGCCACTGAGCTACACCCCCAGCCTGTTGGAGAAATATATTTAGGTTGTTCCTGGTTAGCAAGGCAGTGTAAGTCTCTCTCCTGAAGATTAAAACCAGGGCAAAATGCAAAAGCATCTACCTGAGGATGCTACAAAATAAAAGGTGTCTAGGAGCAGCCACCTAGACAGAAACGGAGATGAAACCAAACCATTGGCAGTGAAGAAAAATCAGGAGAATCATTTCCAGCATATTTGCCCTGCAAGAAATGCTGTTGCCAGGTGTGGTAATGCACACCCATAATGCCAGCAGCACCGGAGGCTGAGGCAGGAGACTCACTCAAACCTAGATTCTCTCTCCAGGGGGGAAAAAAGTTAAAGGAAATCCTTCATACTAGGGGAGTAAATTCAAAAGGAAACTTGGATCAGTAGGAAAAGCAACAGAAGTGGTAAATATCTGGATAAATATAAAAGACTTTCTCAAGTAGTCTAAATCTATAACACTGGAGAAAGCAAAAGTTAAAACATTAGTAAGGATTTTAATGTCTGCAGATAAAATCCATAAAACTATAACAAAATGTGGGGGTTAAAGATCTATATGGTTGCAAGGCATCTACATTTTGCTTGCAATGCTACAATTTCTGTTCTAAGGAGACTATGAAAAGTTAAAATGTAATCCCAGGAACCACCACCAAAAAGAAAACCCAAAAAATGATAGCCAAAAATCCAAGAGATAAAATATTTGAATAATCAAGAGAAAGCAAGACAGGGAGAAGAGAGGAATTTTTAAAACAGATAAATAAATCATATCATAAAATAGAAGACCAAAAAGCCCACCATATCAGTAATTACATTAAATGTTGATGGTCTCTGTTCAGTCCAGTAAGAAGGCAGAGATTGACAGTGGATAAAAGGATCACATGCTGACTATAAGAGACAGAATAAATACAAAGGCACAGAGAATTTGAAAATAAATGGATGGAAAAATGCCAAACAAATAGTCAAAGTCTGCAGGGGCTATGCTGATGGCAACTAAAACTGCCTTCAGAACAAAGAGTATTACCAGAGATTAAAAAAAAAAAAAAAAAGCCTCAGTCATAATGAGAAAAAAAATTCAAGAAGTCATAAATAATTTTAAATGTATATACACCTAACAACAATACCTGGAAATAAATGAGTCAAAAATTGACAGAATTAGGGCTGGAGTTGTGGCTCAGTGGTAGAGCACTTGCTTGGCACATGTGAGGCACTGGGTTCAATCCTCAGCACCTCAAAATAATAAATAAATAAAATAAAGGTATTGTGTCCATCTAAAACTAAAAAATATTTAAAAAAAAACTGACAGAATTAGGGGCTGGGATTGTGGCTAGGTGGCAGAGTGCTCGCCTTGCATGCGTCAGGCACTGGGTTCAATCCTCAGCACCACATAAAAATAAAATAAAGATATTGTGTCCACCTAAAACTAAAAAATAAAAATTAAAAAAAAAAATTTAATGACAGAATTAAATGGAAAACTAGGGGAAAAAATATCTTTTAACTCCCCTCTCTTAGCAATTGATACTAAACACAGAAAAATAAGAAAAAACAGATGTGAACACTATCAGTGACCTTGACTTAATTGACATTTATAGGACACTGTCTCCACAAACATCAGAATACACATTATTTTCAAATATTCATCATATGTTCACCAAGTTGAACCATATACAGGACCATAAAATGACAAATTTTTAAGAATCAAAAATCATACAAAAGGGCTGGGGTGGTGACTCAGTGGTAGAGCGCTTGCCTGGCATGTGTGAGGCACTGGGTTCGATTCTCAGCACCACATGTAAATAAATAAAATAAAGGTCCATTAATAACGAAAAAATATTTTTTAAAAAATCATACAAAGTTGGTGGCTAGGGGTGTAGCTAAATGGAAGAGTGCTTGCCTGGCATGCATGAGGACCTTGCTTTGATCCTCAGCACTGAAGGGGGAAAAAAATTCCCATCACAGTACAGATGTTTCTTAACTTAGAGGGAGATACATCCTGATAAAGCCATTCATTGTAAATAAAGTGGAAAAATTTCTAAGTATAACCATTGTAAGTCAGACCATCTCTATGCCATAAGAATATACACTACTTAGAAATAAAAGTAAAAATGGAGTTCTGGGATCTCTATACTGAAACAGATTTAATTTTTTCCCCCAGTGCTAGCAAAGGAACCCAAGACCTCACACAGGCTAGTCTAGCACTCGACCTCTGAACTACATCCCCAGGCAAGATTTAAAGTTTAAA